AGTTCTAGTTCAGTTCTAGTTCAGTTCTAGTTCAGTTCTAGTTCAGTTCTAGTTCAGTTCTAGTTCAGTTCTAGTTCAGTTCTAGTTCAGTTCTAGTTCAGTTCTAGTTCTAGTTCAGTTCTAGTTCAGTTCTAGTTCAGTTCTAGTTCAGTTCTAGTCAGTTCTAGTTCAGTTCTAGTTCAGTTCTAGTTCAGTTCTAGTTCAGTTCTAGTTCAGTTCTAGTTCAGTTCTAGTTCAGTTCTAGTTCAGTTCTAGTTCAGTTCTAGTTCAGTTCTAGTTCAGTTCTAGTTCAGTTCTAGTTCAGTTCTAGTTCAGTTCTAGTTCAGTTCTAGTTCAGTTCTAGTTCAGTTCTAGTTCAGTTCTAGTTCAGTTCTAGTTCAGTTCTAGTTCAGTTCTAGTTCAGTTCTAGTTCAGTTCTAGTTCAGTTCTTCTAGTTCAGTTCTAGTTCAGTTCTAGTTCAGTTCTAGTTCAGTTCCTAGTTCAGTTCTAGTTCAGTTCTAGTTCAGTTCTAGTTCAGTTCTAGTTCAGTTCTAGTTCAGTTCTAGTTCAGTTCTAGTTCAGTCTAGTTCAGTTCTAGTTCAGTTTAGTTCAGTTTCTAGTTCAGTTCTAGTTCAGTTCTAGTTCAGCTCTAGTTCAGTTCTAGTTCAGTTCTAGTTCAGTTCTAGTTCAGTTCTAGTTCAGTTCTAGTTCAGTTCTAGTTCAGTTCTAGTTCAGTTCTAGGTTCAGTTCTAGTTCAGTTTCTAGTTCAGTTCTAGTTCAGTTCTAGTTCAGTTCTAGTTCAGTCTAGTTCAGTCTAGTTCAGTTCTAGTTCAGTTCTAGTTCAGTTCTAGTTCAGTTCTAGTTCAGTTCTAGTTCAGTTCTAGTTCAGTTCTAGTTCAGTTCTAGTTCAGTTCTAGTTCAGTTCAGTTCTAGTTCAGTTCTAGTTCAGTTCTAGTTCAGTTCTAGTTCAGTTCTAGTTCAGTTCTAGTTCAGTTCTAGTTCAGTTCTAGTTCAGTTCTAGTTCAGTTCTAGTTCAGTTCTAGTTCAGTTCTAGTTCAGTTCTAGTTCAGTTCTAGTTCAGTTCTAGTTCAGTTCTAGTTCAGTTCTAGTTCAGTTCTAGTTCAGTTCTAGTTCAGTCTAGTTCAGTTCTAGTTCAGTTCTAGTTCAGTTCTAGTTCAGTTCTAGTTCAGTTCTAGTTCAGTTCTAGTTCAGTTCTAGTTCAGTTCTAGTTCAGTTCTAGTTCAGTTCTAGTTCAGTTCTAGTTCACTTCTAGTTCAGTTCTAGTTCAGTTCTAGTTCAGTTCTAGTTCAGTTCTAGTTCAGTTCTAGTTCAGTTCTAGTTAGTTCTAGTTCTCTAGTTCAGTTCTAGTTCCAGTTCTAGTTCAGTTCTAGTTCAGTTCTAGTTCAGTTCTAGTTCAGTTCTAGTTCAGTTCTAGTTCAGTTCTAGTTTCAGTTCTAGTTCAGTTCTAGTTCAGTTCTAGTTCAGTTCTAGTTCAGTTCTAGTTCAGTTTCTAGTTCAGTTCTTCAGTTCTAGTTCAGATTATAATTCCTAGCTGCCGAACACTATATTTTATAATATTCAATACTCGTGAACGAATTTGTTCAATACCTTAGAGAGCTGTGTTAGTCTAAAACATATGTAGAGTCCGTGTCAAAGAACTGGTTCCTAGAAACTCTTCAGAAGTTCTTTATAATCACAACAATGTTATCACAACGTACAAGTCTATTAAGAATTTTAAGTATTTCTGTATTTTAGAACAAGTTATAAAAGTTTTAAGAAGTTTCACGTTTCCTCGCCTTTGATTAAACTAAAGCATTTTAGGAACCGGTCAGCAGCTTCTGATTAGAAATAGCGGGGAATTGAAAAAATCTCAGAAATGAGAAATATATTCATGTAATTGATCAATTATTATAATTGTATTATGTTTGCTAGGAACAAATTTGAAGACCTTTTAAGGGTTAAAACCATAATTTTGTAATTTTTTAACAACCATTGAAATCCAGTAAATATTTTATATTTTGGCAATTACCAAAAATATTTATGAATTAATCAGTTACATTCACATTAAAAAATTTACTCTCACACACACACTATCATATTTGATAAATACTATTAGAGTATTTTACTCCTTTTTTGACATTTAGTTTGACATGTGTAAAAAATAATAAGTTATTTACCTTTTCAGTATTTGTAGACATTTTGTTCAGTTTTACGAAAAACTTAATTTTCTATTATTTTTCCTTAAGAAATTAAAAACTGTTATTGTAAAAATTTCCGCAAGTAGAAATTTTTGCAGTATACTCTTAAGTAGTTGTTGTTTTCAGTTATGACGCGTCATTTAACCGTTTCTATAGCCGACATTTACTATATATATATTCAACTACATAAAAATATATATGTATTTCTTGATATCTGTATATAAAAAACACACACACACACTTTCTTATAAACACTTATTTACACATACATATGTGCAATATATGTATTTCCACCATACATACAATATATAGACAATAAATAACCTTAAAAATATACTTTTTTACGTAATTTTTTACCGAAATTTACTTGAATTTAAAGTAAATAAATGTTAAATTTTTTGTTGTAATACTTTACTTTTTTGGTTAAGCTTTCGAATATTTTATAGACATTTATCTTTTTTCTTTTTTAAGTATATTTTCTATTAAACTTTTTTTGTATTTTTTGCCGTTTCTCCGTTTTGTGTGTTTTGCTTCTCTAGTATATAACGCTTTTATCCTTCTAACGCAACTAAACTACTCCTGCTTAAAATGTAATGTGTATATTCCTTTGGAAGGAAAAAAAGTGACAGAATTAACAAGTGTGTTTGTAGTTGTATTTTGAAATAAAACTGAATTGAAAACGAATTACAACCAACTTCGCTCAAAGCATGCGCACTATGCAGGCAGGATTGTTAGCAATCCTTTAAAGTGCTGTATTTAACGAATTGAATATGTTGTCATATTTAAAAATTAAATATATGTTCTAGTTCTAGTTCTGGTTCTGTTCTAGTTCTGTTCTAGTTCTGTTTCTAGTTCTGTTCTAGTTCTGTTCTAGTTCTGTTTCTAGTTCTGTTCTAGTTCTGTTCTGTTCTAGTTTCTGTTCTAGTTCTGTTCTAGTTCTGTTCTAGTTCTGTTCTAGTTCTGTTCTAGTTCTGTTCTAGTTCTGTTCTAGTTCTGTTCTAAGTTCTGTTCTAGTTCTGTTCTAGTTCTGTTCTAGTTCTGTTCTAGTTCTGTTCTAGTTCTGTTCTAGTTCTGTTTCTAGTTCTGTTCTAGTTCTGTTCTAGTTCTGTTCTAGTTCTGTTCTAGTTCTGTTCTAGTTCTGTTCTAGTTCTGTTCTAGTTCTGTTCTAGTTCTGTTCTAGTTCTGTTCTAGTTCTGTTCTAGTTCTGTTCTAGTTCTGTTCTAGTTCTGTTCTAGTTCTGTTCTAGTTCTGTTCTAGTTCTGTTCTAGTTCTGTTCTAGTTCTGTTCTAGTTCTGTTCTAGTTCTGTTCTAGTTCTGTTCTAGTTCTGTTCTAGTTCTGTTCTAGTTCTGTTCTAGTTCTGTTCTAGTTCTGTTCTAGTTCTGTTCTAGTTCTGTTCTAGTTCTGTTCTAGTTCTGTTCTAGTTCTGTTCTAGTTCTGTTCTAGTTCTGTTCTAGTTCTGTTCTAGTTCTGTTCTAGTTCTGTTCTAGTTCTGTTCTAGTTCTATTCTAGTTCTGTTCTGTTCTAGTTCTGTTCTAGTTCTGTTCTAGTTCTGTTCTTAGTTCTGTTCTAGTTCTGTTCTAGTTCTGTTCTAGTTCTGTTCTAGTTCTGTTCTAGTTCTGTTCTAGTTCTGTTCTAGTTCTGTTCTAGTTCTGTTCTAGTTCTGTTCTAGTTCTGTTCTAGTTCTGTTCTAGTTCTGTTCTAGTTCTGTTCTAGTTCTGTTCTAGTTCTGTTCTAGTTCTGTTCTAGTTCTGTTCTAGTTCTGTTCTAGTTCTGTTCTAGTTCTGTTCTAGTTCTGTTCTAGTTCTGTTTCTAGTTCTGTTCTAGTTCTGTTCTAGTTCTGTTCTAGTTCTGTTCTAGTTCTGTTCTAGTTCTATTCTAGTTCTGTTCCAGTTCTGTTCTAGTTCTGTTCCAGTTCTGTTCTAGTTCTGTTCTAGTTCTGTTCTAGTTCTGTTCTAGTTCTGTTCTAGTTCTGTTCTAGTTCTGTTCTTGTTCTGTTCTAGTTCTGTTCTAGTTCTGTTCTAGTTCTGTTCTAGTTCTGTTCTAGTTCTGTTAGAGTTCTGTTCTAGTTCTGTTCTAGTTCTGTTCTAGTTCTGTTCTAGTTCTGTTCTAGTTCTGTTCTAGTTCTGTTCTAGTTCTGTTCTAGTTCTGTTCTAGTTCTGTTCTAGTTCTGTTCTAGTTCTGTTCTAGTTCTAGTTCTGTTCTAGTTCTGTTCTAGTTCTGTTCTAGTTCTAGTTCTGTTCTAGCTGTGTTCTAGTTCTGTTTTAGATCTGTTCTAGTTCTGTTCTAGTTCTGCTCTTGTTCTGTTCCAGTTCTGCTCTTGTTTTGTTCTAGTTCTATTTCAGAAAAAAAATAACTAAACAATTCAAAATGAATGTCTTTACCCATTTTAAACCGTTTACATATGTACATATATTACATTCTTTACCATTAAGTAAACCATTTTACATTATTTACCATTAATTAAATTTAGAAAATATAATAATGGCAACACTGTTAATAAGATATCAATTCCTAGTGATTCACCTGAAAAAAAGAAGCAACTTTAAAAATAGTCGTGTTGCCATTGGCAACATCCTAGCCTCCTTAGGAAATCCGAAAATAAAGATTTTAGCCCCAATAGTTTCTCAGATATACGAATTTTTGTATTTAATTCATATGGGAGGTTAAAAGCACCCATTGTCCAATGAGTTTTTTTTACTCGGAATTTTATTTACTCGGAATACGTTTTTATTTAATAACGTTGAAATTTAAAAAAAAAACACAACTAACTTAACCGGCTTACAGCCGTTTTTAAGCCGTCGCCGAAATTTTTAGTGTCACCCACGAAGTTAATTTTTGCCGTCGCAGGTATCTAGTGGTGCCAGCGTCAACAGTTGTTTTATTGAAATTCATGTTTTTTAAGAAAAAACTAAAAATTATTAAAATATTCCATTGCAAATATAAAAACTTAAGAATATCAATAAAAACCATTAAAGTATAATATTGAAATATTTCGTGGCATTAGAAAACTACAAAAACCAAACAAATTTGCAACAGCAAAAAAATGTAAACAAAAGTAGAAAAGTGTCTCGGAAAATTACCCACTTCGCTGAAGAATTATAAAAATAAATAAGTAGATAAATAATAATAAATTTACAATAACAAAAACAAATGTAAAATCATTAAAGTAAGAAAAATGTTATAGATATAAAAAGAATTATTCCAAAATATAAAATATTTTATTAAAACAACCATATGTTAGCTGTTATATTTTGTGTCGTCTTAACAATTGTCTTGTTTTTTATGACTATAGCAGACCGACCAACAGACAGACTGTGTTACTAACGTCTATAGAACAATAATAACAAAAGGGTTACAACATACACTTATGTGGTTAAAACGAAAGGTAAGAAAGAAGTCTAAATATATATATTTTCGCCACTTTATTGTGGGAGTGTGATTAATGAGTTTCAATGTGTGTTGCATATTTCTTTGCAGATAATAACTTTACAAATTTATATAAACAATTAGATTTGGTAAAAAAAATGTCTCATGTACGTTATGATAATCATAAATATGCCCGCCTTAATAATCAAGAAATTAAAACTCAACGATCCTATTCAGAGGATGAAAATGAAGAAATCGATTTGAGCGGCACAGAGCAACGTTTTAGATATTCTGCAGATTCAGACGACAACGATGATGTGACAACAAACAAAGGACAATCACAGAATGGTGGTGGTTACTTAGGTCATCATGATTACGATGATGTATTGGATGGTGGTAGTGGAAGACATGCAAATGATAATGATGGCAACGGCATGCATAATGGCAGTACCACAGTTACCCTAAGAGATCGTCTCAATGATTCGCGTCTTATGCAAATGGCTATATGTTCTTTACTAACCATACTGCTATATTTGCTATTATCGATATGTTTGACATTTTACCAGAAGGCTTTAATTAAGGAATTAAATTTCCCATTGACTATAGTTAGTTATCATTTGGTGCTAAAGTTTATAATGGCTTCCAGTGCTCGAGGTATTTATAAAGCTGTGGTGGGTAAATCAAGGATACAATTAGATTGTCGTACATCAGTAAGAAAAATGGCTCCCACTGGTTTGGCAAGTGGTATTGATATTGGATTTTCAAATTGGGCTTTAGCATTGGTATCCGTTTCACTGTATACCATGACGAAATCATCGACAATTGTATTCATATTGATATTTGCCATTTTATTGGGATTGGAGAAAAAGGTAAGTGATGAAGGTGGTGTTAAAGTGATTGTTGATTTTCGAAGTGTTAAAAATTGAAAATTTCTATATAACCACCAAGACCGTGGTTATGCTATTTTGATTAAAAAAATTAATCAAATTGCTACCTTACAGAGTTGGTCCCTGGTATTCATTGTCGGCTTAATCGCAGTGGGTCTCTTTATGTTTACTTATAAATCAACACAATTCGATACCTTGGGCTTTATATTTATATTGGTGGCCTCCTTATGTGGTGGCATACGTTGGAGTTTAGCACAGTTTGTAATGCAAAAATCTAAATTAGGTCTACACAACCCCATTGATATGATATATCACATGCAACCTTGGATGATAGCAGCTCTATTACCCTTCGTTATAATATTTGAAGGTAATTTACATAATTTAAACTATAAAGACTTGTTTTAACAATTTGCTTCCAATCATAGGCAAAGGTTTGGTAAAAATTCTAGAAAATATGAGCAATTATCCCGACAGTACCATCTATATGATTTTATTGAAAATATCTGCCGGGGCTACATTGGCATTTTTCATGGAAGTTAGTGAATTTATGGTATTATCGAAAACTTCCAGTTTAACCCTCTCTATTGCCGGTATATTTAAGGTAAATAACTGTTTTTATAAACATTAACAATTTACTCTAATAAACAATAAACTATTTCTTAACAGGATATTTTCCAATTAGTTTTGGCTGTGGAATACAATGGTGATCAATTAAGTTTAATAAATGCCTTAGGTTTAGTTGTTTGTTTAGCCGGCATTTGTTGTCATGTCGTTCATAAATATTCAACATTAACTAAGTTACAAGAACTACAGTCGTACGACGAATCTTCAGATTTGCATTTAAATGAAGCTTCTTTAAATGGTAGCGGTGTTGCTGGTGGTGCCGGTGCTCATTCATCAAATGCTATAAATTCCTCAAATATGAATGATTATGCTTTTACAACAACGAAAAAACATTCCTCATTAACTGTTCCTTTATTAGAAGAAACCGATTCGGATGATGATGAGGATACATCACCCAACGGTAATAAAGATAACTCTTCAGATGTTATATTTGATATACTTAAACGTCGTGATATGCAACGATGAGTAAGAAAAGTATGTATGTAAATATTATACCCCCCAAAAAAATATCAACATGTACTATACTATATATAATATTATTGACTTTGCTAACACAATTAACTACTTATTATATTAAAGAAACGTAATTATATTTTTATTTGTAATTTGTGTTATTAAAGCTTTGCGGCTAAAAACGTATAGAGGGAGTAAGAAAGGAGAATATTGCTTTTAACTGTTGATACTTGATTCTGTTTTGTGGTTTAACTAACTTTCATGTAATATTGGTATTTTTTTAAAGAAAAATGCATTTTTACTGCTTCAGCAAAACATTTTTTTAATGAAAACGATTTTATTCTTTCTTAGAGCTTTTTTACTATTTTAGTGAAAAAGTTTTGCTTTCTGTTGCGTTTCTAAAAACACCTTCATTTACTCTTTATTCAATAAAGTGTTTTACAGTTTCAGTGTAGAGCTTTTTTTACTGTTTGAATCGAAAAAGCTTTTTAATTTAAACTTGTATAAAATGTGCTTTAGTGAAAAAAGTTTTTCCATTTTAATGAAAAAGCTTTTCTACTTTTTTTTAGTAAATTCCGATTTTTTTACTTTTTTAATGTTTCATTCCAAAAAGCTTTACATAGGTTTTATAATAAAAGCTCTTTTTTAGTGGAAACATTTTTTAACTCTTTAATCAAAGTTATTTTTATTTGAATGAAAAGCTGTAAAAAGCTATCTATACTTTTTTATTTTATTATTTTATGAAAAGCCTTTTTGTTGTCATTAAAGCTTGATTACTAAATCAGTGTAAAATCTTTTCTACTTAAACGGAAAAAGATTTTCTGTTCTGTTAAGTTCATTAAAGAAAGCTTTTTTAATAAAAAAAGTGAAAGCTTTTCTAAATTGTTTCAGTATAAAGAGCTGTTCCACTATTCAGTCCTTCAGTAAAAATAGCTTTTTCAGTTTTAGTGAAAACATATCTTCATACACTGTTTCAATGGAAAAAGCTTTTTTAAGTAAAAAATAGATTTTTTACAGTTTTAGTGAAAACATAACTTTTTACCGTTTTTACTGCTTCAGTGGAATAAGCATTTTTATTTCAATATAAAAAGCTTTTTTACTTTTCATTAGTATTTTTCGAGGATTCTTACAGCTTTTCTATATTAGCTTATTTACTGTTTTAGCAAGAAAAGCTTTTTTATTGTTTCAGTATAAAGAGCTTTTTTGATGTTTCAATAAAAAACAAACTTTTATGAAAAAGCTTTTTTCCTCTTTTGCTTTAACTTTCTATTTTAGTTTTTTATTTTAATAAGGAGGCGTAAAAAGTTTTCCTATTTAAGTGAAAAAAGCTTTTTTGCTGTTTTAGTTAAAAAAAGTTTTTCCATCTGTTTTTGTGTGTTGAAGTGAAAAAAGCTTTTTTAGTAACAATAAATTACAATTATTAAAGATTTATACTTTTTTTAGTGAAAAAAGTTATTAAAACTTTTATTATTAAACTTTTAATTTAATTTTTTTTACTATTTTATAATAATTTTCTTCTCTCTACGTTTACATTTTAAATAAATTACAATAAAAGATAGTTAGTTGGAACAGACGCCTTTAAAGTTTAAATAATATTTAATATGTATGTATTGTAAGTGTATGTAATAAAATGTGACATCGATTTAAGTTTTCCTCGCTTTAATATGTGTAATTTTTGCTACTTTAATTATAAAAAAAAAAAACTCACGTTCCCAGTTATAATCTATCTCCCTTGTAAAGAAAATTAAGAAAAGATAACACCACTTACCTTTTATTTCTAAAAAGAATTATTTTAACAAAAACAAGTTGTAGATTTACTTGTATATGATTCCTTTTTAGCATTTCTAGTTAGTCTGTAATATTATAAAAAAAGAAAGACTTTTATTAAACAATTTATTTAAATTTAGTTTATAAACGTATTTTGTTAAACCGTTTAAAGTAATATTAATTTGTTGTTTTTTTTTTACATTTTTAAAATTTGTTAAATATTTTTTCCATTTACCTTAACGTAAAAAACATATTGAGTTTTTAAGTCAGATTATTAAGTGTAGTTATATATGTTTGTAATATGTATGTGTGAACGATCAATCATTAGTTGTTGCTGATTAAGGAGATTTTGTTAAAATTGGCCATTATAAACTGAAATTAAAAAATTAAAAAAAATATTAGTTTAACATAATAAAAACAAAATTATAGATGTAAAACAATTATTGAAGAAAGTAAGAAAAAAACGAAAAATTATAAATATTTTCCAAATAAAGAATATAATTCTATTTAGAATTAAATTTGTGTTCTTTTTTTAAGTGAAAAAAGATGAAAAGAAATTAAATTTAAAATATGGCATATGGTTTACAATTCAATTGTAGAAAAGTTAAAAAGAAAAAAGAAATTAAATAAAGAACTTAGCAACTAAAAGAAAAAAATATTAAAGACTTCAGGTAAAACAATATAGAGATAGGAAAAAGAAGTGTTACAACATATTTTTTTTAACAATTAAAATATGCGTCTTCTTTTGGCCAGTGTGGGATATTCCAGACAATGATAGGCCTCATCCTCTTCTTCATCCGATTCATCTGGCAGTGGGCTGCTAATATCCTGTAAATTGGTCTCCATATTCAAGCTAACAACACAGTCGTCTTCATCATTATCGGTATCAGATCTCATGGATTTTGTATCATTGCCAGATACAATACCAGAATCTGGACTATCACATAGTATAGTAGTGTTATGGCCCTGTGTCGATATGGGGGTATTGGGTGTGGCTTGCAAACTTTGCAAACGTTCATTGTTATAATGTATGCGATAAATAGCTAAAATGGCTTCAACAAATGGTGATATTATATCCGCAGTACAATGGGTCAGTTTCACCAAATACGGTGTCCATATGGGAAAAATACCATGCATTTGTCTAACAGCCGCTATGCAGGCTGAGGCGATTATGGAGGGTCTAGCATTGGCAAATTTTAAATCTGCAAAACAAAAAACATAATTACAACTTTATAATTTTAAAAATATTTCTAACTTAAACTTACAACTTAGTGAAATATCAATTAACTCAAAAAATGTTTTACTCAAAGTGCTCAACATATCCTCGTAACTATTGTAAGGACAGGGTGTACTTAAAACCATACACGTGGATGCTGTATTTATTATCATTTCATTGCCATAACTAACTTGTGTTTGCAGATCCTGCTGCTGTTGATGATAGTTATTTAATATGATTTCATTATTCCAATGATTAATGAAAATATGATAATCCTGTAGTGTAACAATACTATTGGCAAAATATTCAGCAAATGTGGCGGCTGTGGGACGTATTAAATCAAAATTAAAGGTACTCAATACCTTACATTCAACATTTTTAAATTCATTTAGCGTATAGACTTCGTTTAACAGCTTATTGAGATCGGCAAATTTAGGCATATCTACATCGGCTTCTTCGATTTTGGCAGCTATTATAAGACAGGTTATGGCCGAAAGATTTAGTTTATCCGCTCGAATGGTATAGTTGTCCATAAAACAATCGAGTAGATAAATAGCTTGTAGAGGGTAAAATAAATTATTGTTAATTTCTTTAATGAATTAGTCAAAACTAACTATAAAGTCCAGACCATAGACTAGAGACTAGTCCAGCCTATATGCTCTTCTTTAGCCAGAACTATATAGTCTATGCTAAAACGATTGTGACATCAATATTTTCTTTTCGGCTTACCCAAATGCAATGTGGTCCTAGAAAGTTTATGCTTTTCCGTGGCCGTCTTAAGCAATTTCAGTAACATGGCACGTTGACCAACTTGTTGAGAACGAAAACAGACCAAGCGGCGATTTAGTTCAGTTTCTCTTAAGGTTTGAAAAATGTCATCAGAATAATCACAAATCCAATGAGTTTTATCGATGCGTTGCTAAAAATTTTCCAAAAAAATCTAAATATAATTAGGAAAAAATAATACTCAAACACATGCGCTCACACCTGTTGAGCATCTAAACGAAAAAATGAAGTAAAAACGCCACAAAATTCAATGGTTTGTTGGGCACCAGTAGGAGGAAGATGCTGCATATGGGGTATAATAGGAGATCTGAAATCGTTAAGGTTATCACCAAAACTTTGTTCAATTAAGCTGGAATTATACATAGGTAAAAGCTATTTATGTATTTTTAGAAATTTAAAAGATCCTACATTGGATTATTATAGAGCACATAGCTCGATTGTGGTGTCTCCATTTTGTTTTTCTTAAAGGCTTGAGAAATCCCGATATATTACAATTTCATTTAATAAGATATGGATTTTATTAAATTTAACATTTTTTTCTTTTTAAATGGTTAAATTTTTAAATACAATTTATTTGTATAGGAAAATTTCCATTTCAAACAATTTTTGGTTATTAATTTACAAAAAAAAATGCCAAAACCAAAAAAAACTAACGGTTCTTTGAAAAAGCACATTTGTTTAAAAAAGTAGTAGTATGTCAAGTAAATTAGTGCTAACTGAACATACCTTTTGCACACAAATATTTTTTAGAGTTACCAGACTTTAAATATGGCAAATTCAAAATATTTTATACAACTATTATTTGAATTCAAAGTTTGTTGTATATAGACCACAAAATATGTACAATTTCGGACAAAGCCTAAGCACGGACTTTAACTTATTTCAAAAATATATATACAATAAATTTCTTATTGTCCCAAATTTCTACATGATCCAAATTTTGATTCAACCTAATAGAAATAGATTTCGGATATATTTTGTTTCATATACCTAGTGTCTAAAAATAGAACTATGTCTTTGAGATTTATCTAAAAATAAGGCCAAAAATATCAAAAATAATTTTACCCATTCGACGCAGCAGAATATTAGTTTTTTATATTAAGTTGCATATCAAAAACACAATTTTTTAAAATATTATCTTCCAAAATTCCGCTCTTTAAAACTTTTTCGTACTACAAAGGTACTTTTTGAGTTTTCTATAAAATTTAACCTAGAAACATGAAATTAAGCAAGTAAAGTCCGGAGTAAATGAGAATCTATAAAATGGGACTATTGGTACTTTATCGTACTTCAACTGGTACTTTTTTGACTTAGAACTTAGAAACATGTTATTAAGCACTTGAGAATCTATAAAAGTGGACTTTTTGGTACTTTTTCGTTCTTCAAAAGAAACTTTTTGAATTTTCTATAATATTAAACCTAGAAACATGAAACCTACCAAATTTTATGACGATCGAAGCATAATTCACCCTAAACCCATATGAAATTTTCTTCAGAAAATGACTTAAACGCACATAAATGGCTTTCAAATGTCGATGTTGACGAAAAAAACACTTTTAGGAACCGAAACATACATTTATGAAAAATAAAATGAGGATCGGTCCGCCAATATAACCCTCTTACAGAAAATCAGTTTATAGCTAATACATCATTCCAAAAGTTATCATTACGGTAAAATAGGAATAGTCTTTTAGAGTTGCGAGTTTTCATACACTCTAATAATGTTTTCAAAGTGAAACTTTTGGAATATTTTTCAATCTCTTTGTGATCCCTTTAATTGATGTTGTTCTGGAAGAAACTGATTTTCTGCAAGATGTTTTATATGGAGGATAGGGTTAAATATCGGCTGATCTTCGTAAAACTTGGAGGAAGGATTTGTTTGTAATTTTAAAGAATTTTTTATTCATCCCTGCATAATTTCTCACACAACTTTTGAGCTTGCTCTGTTTTGTTGTTATAAACAATATATTTGCTTCCAAAATCCCACTTTCTGATCTCTCGGATTCCGTTTTTATTTAAAATCGTTGAAAATTTAAAAACTAAACGTAGTTGAAAACTTAGCCGGCTTACAGTCGATTTTAAGCCGCCGCCGATATATTTAGTGTCAGCCGCCGCCGTTAATATTTGTCGGCGCAGGGCTCTGGTGCAGAGACTTGCGCCGATTCGGCTTAAGCCGACTAAGCCTAGCCGCCGAACAAAATGTCAAAGCCGCCGCCGCCGAAAATTTTTCAGCTTAATACGCCTTGAAAATTTCGCCATATTTTGTACAATTTACAGAATACTTTCGCTAAATTTGTGGAATTTTACAATATAAAATGAATTTGTTTTCATTTAAGCAAGTCTTCTTTTATCTAATAATAAGCCGCTCATTGAAATTTGGCCGGTGTAGAACTTTGCTCAACGTTCGATGTACATGCTTCGCCTCAGATATTTTCGTGTTTTCGCGCCTAATTCGAGTCACTGCTTTGACTTCAAACCAGCTTCGTTGACGTCAACGGAGCTACACCTTTTTACATTGCTGGTATGTCATACCGTAAAGGGCTAGGGTATCGAACATGTGTATTTCAAATGGGAAGTGCAGTTGATGTCAATTCTGCCGACTGCGAAAAGAAATTCTGCTAGAATTTTTCGCGCCAAGCTGTTTTCTGCATTTTTTATTTGCCACAAAAAATCTGTTGTTGTGTGTGTGCGAAAATCTAAAATGACAGAAATGATATTCTTTAAATAAAAAAATAATTTTTTACTAAAAATTAAAATTAATCTTATTAAGATTGTTTGCTATACTACTATACCGAGGGTCATTGTACAAAGAAACAGCAAGTGTTGGGTTGAATTTAGTTAAATTGTTAATAATTATATGGGTTTGTTTTCGTTTAATACCCAAAAGTGTTTATCGAAATCTATATTTGGCATATTTGTGAGATCTAGAAGATTAAAAAATGTATGTAATGGTGTTAATTAATTATTTATTTATCTATAAAGAACGTCTTTCTTTTCAAGAAGGAAGCTGATTGCCGTATTCAGGGGGTATCCTTGAGATACATACTTATTATTATACCATTGATCTTAGCAGAATCACTACCATACACACATAATAGAGCGCGATGTCTGTCAGGTGTGCCTTTCAGTGAAGCTCTTGTTGTCTCCAAACACTATGGTGACCGAATATTTACAAGAAACAATTGTTAAGCCGTCTTTTATACAAATTTATAGCTTTGTAGAGAATGTCTTCACGGACCTAGAGGATAGAACCTGGCTAGGTATGTAGATGTTGTTTGGGCAAAATATTGGTACTAACCATTGTGGGCTTTAAGTCGACTTTAGATCCCTTATAGTTGTCACACTATACCAAATAAGCATTCTTGCTGGAATTAAAGTTTAAAACAAGTTTAATTCCAGTCAAACATTCAAATTTCAAGTGTTGAAATTCACTTTCATTACACTTTAATTCAATAGAATTCTCCAGTGAAAACGAAACTTGAATTCAAGTCGAACATTAGAATCTTTTTACAGTATAATTCAATGCACGAAATCTATATATGTACATACATACGTACATATATAAAATTCTAACGTTACTGACTGACTGATTCATCATCGCACAGCCTAAACGGTTTTAGCTAAAGAGCTGAAATTTGGACAGGAGGTTGGTCTCCCACCAAATAGATCCACTAAGACGGGATTTTTGGAAATGATTAGGGGGTTAAAAAAGGTAAAAACGGGTAAATTCGGTAACCTCGTATCTCCTAAACTATAAAAGATACAAAAACAGTTTAAAGCTTATCGTCATTCATTTAAAAAATAAGCGGACAGGTGTCTGGTACTTTTTTCAAATTCGGCTCCTTTGGGGAATAAACGGGTAGAAACTGTAATTTGGTACTTCTTTTGCACCCCATGTATCTTTTTTGAATCCTTCATAACTTGACGAACAAATAAAAATATGAATTTAGTACTTTTTGGATATTCGGACGTTTAAGGGGTGAAAATTGTACCTATTTTTGGTACTTTTTTATAAAACATTGTTTTTGGTTTATTAACTTATACATATGAATACAAAATAACGGGCTCCCAATACGATGTTGCAACTGGTACTTTTTTGACTTAGAACTTAGAAACATGTAATTAAGCACTTGAGAATCTATAAAAGTGGACTTTTTGGTACTTTTTCGTTCTTCAAAAGGTACTTTCTGAGTTTTCTATTAAATTGAACATAGAAACATGAAATTATGCACGTAGAGCCTGGAGTAAATGAGAATCTATAAAATGGCACTTTTTGGTACTTTTTCGTTCTTTGACTGGTACTTTTTGAGCTTGCTACAAAATTTGAACCTCGAAACATGAAATTAAGCACTTAGAGCCTGAAGTAAATGAGAATCTATAAAATAGGAACTTTATCGTACTTCGACTGGTACTTTTTGAGTTTTCCATAAAATTAAACCTAGAAACATAAAAATAAATATGTAGAGCCCGGAGTAAATTATAATTTATAAAAAGGGACTTTTTAGTACTTTTTCGTTCTTCGACTGGTACTTTTTGAATTTTTTATAATATTGAACCTAGAAAAATGAAATTAAGAATGTACAGCCCGGATTAAGTGATAACATTTAAAAGGGGACTTTTTGGTACTTTTTCGTTCTTCGACTGGTACTTTTTGAATTTTTTATAATATTGAACCTAGAAACATGAAATTAGGAATGTACAGCCCGGATTAAGTGATAACATATAAAAGTGGACTTTTTGGAACTTTTTCGTTTTTCAACTGGTTCTATTTGAATTTTCTACTATAATGAACCTAAAAACATAAAACTAAGCAATCAGGGACTTGAGTGAATGAAAATTTAAACTGGAGTATTTCTGGTAATTTTTCGTTCTTTAACTGGTACTTTTTGAATTTTCTAAAATATTGAATATATAAACATAAAATTAAACACGCAGTATCCTAATTGAACGAAAATTTATCTCGCTTACGTCCATTTTGCAAAAAGAGCTCGATATCAATCGATATCTCTATAGGCCATAATTGACCCTGTCCCCTTCATTAATTGATTTTAACGTTTTTTACGTACTTAATAATACCATAATAAAACAATTTTTGTTGGAACGAAAATATGTATATGAAATCTTCTTGAGAAAATGACTTAAACGCACATAAATGGATTTCAAATGTCGACGAAAAAAAACATTTTTAGGAACCGAAACCTACATTTATGAAAAATAAAGTTATGAGGATCGGTCCGCCAATATAACCCTCTTACAGAAAATCAGTTTATAGCTAATACATCATTCCAAAAGTTATCATTATGATAGAATTATGGTAGAAATAAAAAAATACTTTAAATTATATATATTATTGATCCAATTACACATTTAAGTCCCTAATCCGATAATTACGGTGACGTTCTTATTAATCTAATGATCGGACCACTTCCGAAATTTTCTTTTTTACGACATATGATTTGCCGAATATAACTCTTACTTCTTACTTAATTTAATCATAAATTACCGCTAAAATAGGAATAGTCTGCCTTTAGAGTTGCGAGTTTTCGTACATTCTAATAATGTTTTCAAAGTGAAACTTTTGGAATATTTTTCAATCTCTTTGTGATCCCTTTAAATGATGTTGTTCTGGAAGAACTTTAACATCCATGTAAACATTTTGGGTAATAAATTGGATGACTACCAATGAGGGGAGCGGAACCTCCCATATGAATTAAATACAAAAATTCGTTTATCTGGGAAACTAATATAACTAAATTCTTAAAATTTTGCACGAGCAACTTTAATATTCATCTGAACATTTTGGAGAAAAAAGGGCGGACTTTCATCTGGGGGGCTTGGAGCTCCCATATGAATTAAATAGAAAAATTCGTATATCTGAGAAACTATTAGAGCTAGAATTTCAATTTTTACTGAAGAACATTTAGAGAATAACGGGCGGACTTTCAATGGGAGGTTTGGCACTTCCCATATGAATTAAATACAAAATTTTGTATATCTGGGGAACTATTAGATTATTCGAAATTGCAATAATTTGCGTGGAATCTCCCATATGTAACAAATTGTATATCTGGAAAACCATTGTAGTTAGAATCATCAAAGTCGTTAAGTGGGTTATATTGCTTTTAGGGTAGCACAGCACACTGGGTATAGCTAGTAAATAAACATTATTGATCATTTTCTTAATGCAAAATTTTTTAGAAACTGATTTTCTGCAAGATGTTTTATATGGAAGATAGGGTTAAATATCGGCAGATCCTAGTAAAACTTGGAGAAAGGATTTGTTTTTAATTTTTAAGAATTTTTTATTCATCCCTGCATAATTTCTCATGCAACTTTTGAGTTTGCTCTGTTTTGTTGTTATAAACAATATATTTGCTTCCAAAATCCTACTTTCTGATCTCTCGGATTCCGTTTTTATTTAAAATCGTTGAAAAATTAAAAACTAAACGTAGTTGAAAACTTAGCCGGCTTACAGTCGATTTTAAACCGCCGCCGATATATTTAGTGTCAGTCGCCGCCGCCGTTAATATTTGTCGGCGCAGAGCTCTGGTGGCGTGAATTTTGTGACAGAATAAAAACAAATTTTCTGCGCACGAATTAAACAAGTTTTGTTATAAAAAAGTAATATATAAATAATTTAAATATAAACTAATTTAGTAAAAAATACTTTCTTCATACCTTTAAGAAAAAAGGTAAACATTTTCCAGGTATCGTCTACAGCCAAGCAGCATTAAACAATATTTTCACCAAACTACCACAACAACTGCATATCATCGGCAACAACAACACTTAACAATATGGACTCCATTGCAACAGGATTGGCAGCATCCTCAACTCTGGAGGGAACAAAATTTAAAATTCAACAATCCATACCCAGCGGCTCCATAAAGAGGGGACCTCATGCTATTGTCCGTACGGCCGATTTAAATGATGGCATTAATATTCAACGCAGATTTGGTAATTTTCCTTTAAAACCAAACCTTATTGCTGCAGTAGTTTTCTTTTCGTTTAGTTTGTTTACAATATTCTATTTACCTACAATAACAATTTATTAGTCAATTTGGGATTTAGTTGAAAAAAAAAGTACAAAAAATTCATAAATTAAAAAGTTAAACAACATTTAAGCTAAATATTTGAGTGCCATCAATTTCCTGATGGCAAAGTGGAAAAATAGCTTGTCCTTGAAAGATGGGACTTCTTCAATCAACATACCATTTTTTTGGGAGACCAAGGATACAATCAATTGGCGGCAAAAGGCAATAAAGGCTCTTAAGAGTGTGAGTATGAATATTAATTTTTTTATTTTAAAGCTATAATTTTATCAAAAAAAAAAAAAAATTAAAATTTTTATAAAATTTAAGTAATTTTATGTTAAAAATCTGAATAAAAAAGAAAAAAGTTAATAATTATGTATATGTATAGTACAACATAATTTTTAAGTTAAAATAGTAAAGTAATTAAAACAATGAGGAAAAAGTATTAACCCGCCGATTAAGTATTAACCAGGCATAGAAAATTAAAATTTTAAAATAGTACTTAACATATAACAAAAATAGTACTTTTTTAAGTTTTAAAGTACTAAACAAATTTTCCGCTAGACTATAGATACACTACACAATAGATTAGACTAGACTATACTATAGACTAGACTATAGACCACACTATAGACTACACTGTATACTATACTATACTATACTATACTATACTATACTATACTATACTATACTATACTATACTATACTATACTATACTATACTATACTATACTATACTATACTATACTATATTATATACTATACTATACTATACTATACTATACTATACTATACTATACTATACTAAAGATCATAAACTATCCTAAAGACAAGATTATAGACTAGACTATAGACTTAAATATATACTACACTATAGACTATAATATCGACTAGACTATAAACTACACTATTAACTAGACTATAGACAAGACTACACTATATACAGGTGTATTGATTAATATGTAAACTATTTATGAAAAGTTTATAAGTTAGAAATGTCGTGAGAGTTCCACGATATTTTTCGATATCAAAAAGTACTGGATAAAGTACTAAAGTACTGAATTATCCATGCCTGCCGTACTATCTATCTAAACTGATTTTCGTAAGGAATATCGACTGAAGTCGGTAGAATATTCAATAAATTAAAAGTAATCTATGATTTTTTTAAAATTCTGGCCAAATATCTGCTATAACCATGACCGAACATTTAAAAGACTGACGTTGTCGGAGTCAATTCACGTTGTAGTATTGTATAACACATAAGACACCCGCTATAGTGTTGAATTTTTCTTAAAAAAATAAAAAAAATTATAAAAAATACTTTACAAATCTATTTAAAAAAAGTGATTGTTCTACACTAATCGTTTTTATGTTATATTTACTAAAAGTTAAAGCTTTATAAATTATAGACATATTTTGCAAAATTGAATTTATAATTGAATTTATTATTAAATTCCTTTATAGATTAATAATTATGTTTAATTAATAAGAATGTATGCACTTTTTAATTATATATCCTATTACATTTATAATTTCCATTTTATATATGTTTATGTTTGTTTAAATCTTCCTATTTCAATGGAATACAAAAAATAAACTTTAAGTTAACTTTATATAAAAGTAAGTTAAGTATAATGATTTTCAGTAAAATATAAAACAATCAACAATCAACATACCAAATTTTGAAGATTCCGGCAAAGGTTTTATTTTCAACATTCAAAAAATTTTCCTAAACAACAATCAACATACTATTTATTAAAATGGACAACATCAACAAAACTACAATCAACATTACCTAAACCCAACAGCAACATGGCAACAAAATACAAAAGTATGGAAGTCTGAATGAACGAAAATGTTCCTCTCAACAATCAACATACCAAAATTGAAAAGATTTTATATTTAAATACCATAAAATTGGAATCATTTTCTAAATTTAACATTCTAACAATATAATTTAAATTTCAAAATTAAATTTCTTTTAAATATAAAGTAAATTACAAACAAAATCCCTTATTAAAGTAAATTTAATTAAAAACTTTTGATCATTAAAAAATTAACTGATAAACAAAGAAATATTTACATTCTTATAAAGTTTTTAACATATATTTTAAATAACGAAAAATTTTTTTTTAAAGTTCTTAAAATAAGTTAAAATTTCTTTATACATTTTTCAGCATAAATTAGTTTTAAAACTAAATATTATAATATTATTATTATTATTATCAACTTTAGCAACATACGAAAAAAATATGTTTGTTTCCAGGGATAATTATTACCGTTTATTATAAATTTATTATCTTTTTATCTCTATGTTTAGGTGAAGGTTCCAAACCTTTATTTGATCGCGATGATATTGCAGTTAATCAAACAACCCTAGATGCTCGTGATACTAATAATTTAGATCATGAGCGCAATACGGGCTGTAAAACTAAAACAAATCGTAGAAGTTCTTCGACAGTAAGTAATTGTTTGTTTTTAACAAAAAGAAAATTTTATGATGCAAAATGTTTCTTACAAATCAAATATATAATTACACTGGGCAACAGAATAGCCCTACAAACTAATTGGATGAAAAGACGGAGTGATCTTTTGTCTGTCCGTATGTTTATTGAAAATAAATTTCTTCAGTTTCCAAATGTTATATCATTTTATGAGACATTCTTTCAAGAATTTTGATATTTGAAACCAAAATTGGTCCCGAAAAACCTTGAGTTTCATAATTGGTCATATCTCCTATACAAAGCCTTCCATCTTCTTAAAACCGCTTAATGGTAAATAACTCATTACATAATCATTCTGATAATTTTTTTGTCCTGATCAATATATAATTGGTCATAGTTCTCATATAAAGTCTTCTTCTGAAAATCACTGAATCGTAAATAACTCCTCATATAATGATGGTATCGGAATAAAATTCCATATGAATATGTTTTGTATATATTCAAAACATTCTGCTAAATTTTTGCAGCATCGAACCACAATTTGTCATGGTTCCCATATAAAGGAACAAATTACGGCCCAGGCCATACATTAAGACAGGTAGTTTAACTTGAGTTTATAATATATAATATCGGATAAACATTGACTTGAAAATTCATTAAATTCGTTTGGCCAAAAAATTCAATTGACCAGTGTAAATATATAATACGCAAACCAATACTGCTATCTAACATAAAATTTAAACTGATGCTTAAGGTATCAAGTTCACCGGAAAGATATCGTCATCGGGACATTAAAAAGCATTCCTCGCCGACTTCTGGACGACGTAAGACACCGGAAAGATCTGGGCGCAATGAAAGACCAACACACAGCCATGATAAACATAATTATAATGTAAAATCTAACAATACAATGACTGATAAATATAAAAGGAGTCGTAGAAGTAAATCACGTTCACCACCACATAACGCCAATAAGAAGACTGTCGAAAAAGTTCCTTACTATCGTGATGAACAACGAGAAAAAGATCGTATAAGACGATTATATGGACGTTCACGTTCTCGTACACCACCAGCAGCAGCAACACTATCGTCATCTACCAAGCGACGTATTGAAAGTCCAACGAGACGACGAAGACGTTCAACTAGTAGAGAGCGTCGTAGACATTCACCATACCACCGTAACGTAAGAAGAGACTATAGAAGTCGTCGATCTAGAACACGTTCAAGAACTCGTTCTCCTCCAAGGCGTGAACGTCACAAACATTCTAGTAGATCTAGCAGAGAGCGAGACAATGAGCACAAAGAAGATGCTAATTCTTTAACAACTGCTATTATACCCGCAACACCTCAGATTATTCCTATACCAGTGCCTGTGCCAGCTGAATATGCTGCTGCCTATACATTCGTATGTTCATTTCAATTCTATCATTGTTAGTTGCTAAATATATTTACAAAATATTTCATTTACAGCCCGGCTGGACAGCTCCACAACCAACCTGGCCACCGTCTCACCCTCGGCCGCCATCCGCTTCACATTTTGCTCCCTTTCCCATGTGGACTATGATGCCTCCTCTTAGACCACCACCTCATCAAGCGTCTTATGGTGGTTTGCCACCACCAGCTTTAGCCTATCCACCAATGGCAGCTTCATATCGTCCTCATGCACCCCAAAGATATCCCCAACCAAGACACAACAGCAACAACTATCAAACTCGGCCGAAAAAGCCCTCGAGTTAGATGTTTTTTTAGATTAAAGTATAAATAGTATTTATTCTATTGATTCAGATAGTGTGGGTGGAAATTTTGAATGAATATAATAAAATTTTGGTTTTTTATCTTAAACTTTGAATTGTTTTTTAATTATTGCAAAATAAATTTACGAGAAGTGCTTGCTATTCTAAATAATTCAAAATTTACTTGTTTTTTCTAATTTAAGAACATTAATATATTCTTAAATTTCAGAGGCAGGTATCTAATTGAATTTCAGAAAATTTAATACATAATTTCACAAATTTCTATTTGTATAATTTTCCAAACGTATTTCAGAAAATTCGGTCGCATTTTTGTCTCTAGTTTAGTCAGGAAGTGGACTTTTATATTTTCACTAAAAAAGCATTTTGGTAAGAAATGAATGTGATCACAGATTTTTATCTTTTTTTGCCTTAGCTTAGCCTGAAAATGGACTTTTATTTTTGCTTTAGGGCCTCTAATTTAGCTAGAAAATGAACTTTTATATTTTTACTCAAAAAATCGCATTTTGGCAGGAAATAAAAGTGATCATAGATGTTCAAACTTCTCGTCCAAGGACCAAAAAAAGACTAAATTTTTCAAAATAAAAATTGCATTTTAGTAAGAAACAAAAATAATCAAAGTTTTGATACATATGTACATACATATTATGTTAATAAAATACCCTCCCTAATAGAATTACCAAAAAACAATTACATCTGGCAACTTCACTCTCATGTAGTTTTGTTTTTTTTTTTTTCTTTTTGACATTAAATCTAACAAGGGCTGCCAACTCTAAATAAAATAAAACTTTATAGAATTCAATTTTGTTGCGTAAATAAACAACATTCATAAATTTCTAATATTAATTAAACTATTTGTTTTCTCTTTCAATGTTTATCTTAAATTCTACTTAAGTTTTAGTATTTTAAATATAATTGCATTTGTCAAATAGCTGCCAATTGTAGTGCGAAACTTGGCAACCCTTTTTAAAATGGGAGAAAATATTGACGCGTAGAATTTTTTTTTGTTACATTGAAGGATTATCATTTTTTTCTCTCAATTTCGGAAAGATTCTGTTGTAAAAAAAGTATTAAATTTCTAGTTTAAAATTAGTGAAAAATAGATTTCCACAATGGATATTCATTCCATTTGTCGTATTTGTTTGGAATATTTGCAAAATGGCAATGCTTATGATTTGTTTTTAGTGCCTGGTTTGGCCAAAAAATTGTGTATGTGCACATCGTTGTCGGTGGAACCACAGGATGGGTTCCCAAAGAACATTTGTGGGGTTTGCTACACCCGCCTCAGTGATATGGCCGACTTTCAGAAGTTGTGCGTTGATTCGGTGCAGAAATTCCAGGAAATGATGGCCAACAATGCAATTGTTTGTGCACCGACGTTTGATATTATGGAGGCCCCCGCTACGGCACCTATTGAGGGAGTTCAGATGCCTGAAGATGAAGATGACCATTTGAATTTTGATCCCTTGCTAACCAATCACAAGATGGAGATGCTGGAGAATGAGGAGGACGTCTTTAAGATGCTGGAAACAGTCGATAAAGAGGAAGTGGAAGAAATTCCCACCAAGGTTGAGGAAGAAGAAATTAGTGATGACTCCAGTGAAGAAGATCGGGACAGTGATGATGACTTTCAATTTCCCGAAGGCGGGGATAATGACGATGAGAGCGAAAGCGACGATGACAAACCACTGGCCTCTAGAATACGCAGCATTAAGAAAGAAATCAAAGAGGAGAATGATAAATCGGAATCAGAATCTAAAGATCCAAAAGTTAAACCGAAACGTAAGAGGATACCTGCTGCTGAACGTCATTTGCATCGCATTATCGAATGTCATATTTGTCATCAGAAATTCAAAAAGACTAAAAACTACGAGGAGCACATGAAATACCACAACGACAAGTTGCCCTTCCAATGCGAAGTTGAGAACTGCAAACGAGGCTTCACCACCGCCTACGGTTTGCGTTTGCATGTTGAGCATTGCCACGACGAGACTGTTGAAAAGATTCCTTGCACTCAGGAGGGCTGCGACATGATGTTTACCCGTCGCCGTATACTCAACTGGCATTTGAAGAGAGTGCACAAGCTGGCCAAGGAAGATGTGCCGAAATCGTATCCTTGCAGTGATTGTGAAAAGGTATTCAAGTGTCCCATGGCTTTGAAGAAACACATGTTCAAGCACACTGGCCAGGAATTACCCTTCCCTTGCAACATATGTGGCAAACGTTTTGTCATTAACAGCGCTCTTAAGGATCATCTAATGCGTCATGCTGGTATTAAGAACTATGTATGTCCCTACTGTGGTGTGGGCAAAACCACACGCCAAGAATGGAACACACACATTGCCACTCACAATACCGAGAAGAAATTCAAATGCCACCTCTGCCCTCATGCTTCACACAACAAGCAAAATCTACGTATGCACGTAAGAGTGGTACACGAGAAGATCAAGGACTACGCTTGCCAATATTGTGGCAAACAATTCGGCAAATCAAATGCCTGCAAAATGCACGAGATGACACATACCGGCGAGAAGAGATGCGAATGTAAAGTATGCGGTAAACGTTTCTTGTACCCGAAAGGTCTAACTAAGCACTTGAAGACCCACGAGAAGCGTGTACTAAGAGCTATAGAGGTGTATCGGAAGCGTCAAGTTGAGTTGGGAGAAGTGCCAGCAGAGGCCGCAGAATCTGATCAATTGCCAGATTTACCAAACCCGGAAAACACCCAGGAATCACATCAAAAGGTGGCAGATGAGATTCTCAAGGTTTGTGCTGATTCCGTTAATGCCATACCCAAAGATCCCAGACGCGTAGAGCGCGTGGATATTGCCGACTTAGCTGGTACTGCTGTCAATCCCATTCCGCAAGTAGCTCTGCCTTCCTGGTCGCCCCAGATTAATTTCATGATGAAAGAAGGCAAATACACATGTCCCGATTGTGGTCAGGGCTTCAATGGTTCTGGTAATCTAAGACGCCATCATAAGATTGTTCACCAGGGCGTCAAAGATTTCGCCTGTAGATTCTGTCACAAGCGTTTCGCCAAGGCTCAGACCCTTAAACATCATGAAATGACACATACCGGTGAAAAGCCACATGCCTGTTCTCACTGTGATATGCGTTTCATTCAAGTGGTGGCTCTCAAACGCCACATGAAAGTTCACCAGGAAAGACCCACATACATACCTCAAGCTGCCTTCAAGGCCAAAGAAGAGTTGGTTAAACAGGAACGCAAAAAGTACGCCATCAAACGTGAACAGGAGCAGGAGCGTGAAGCAATAGCCGAAGAAGCTCGCAAACAATTGGAGGAGCTTAAGAAACGAGAAGAAGACCTACAACGACGTCAGCGTGAGGCTTTAGAAAATCTACCTAAAGCCATACCAAAAGAACGTTTGCCGCCCGGGGCAGATATTTCCATTGCCACCAATGTTTTACCAAGTGATTTAAATAGTACTGCAATAACAAACACAACTAACACTAGCACAGACACAACAGCAACTGCTAATAACGAACCTTCAACTTCGGAAAGTGCTCTCAAGATGGAATCACAAGAACACGAAGATATTTCATACCCACAAGTTATGGGCAACTATTAAAGTAATTTGTAGAGCAAATAAAAGCAAAACAACAAAACAAAACTACTTACTAACTGTACACGTTTATAAACGTGTCCTATACATACGATACTATTGCAAGACATGAATGATGGAAGAACAGGCCGGGCTGTACGTTAATGATAACGACATATAAAGCTCATGATATATAGAAAGGATTTTAAAGCTTATAAATGCATTTTAGTAATTTTCAAAACTATATGTACTCTTAAAACGCGTACTTAACGCGAACAAAACAACAATTAACATTAATTCAAAACTGTATAATTCAAAATATTATTGTATTGTAATTTTTTCCTTTTTTCGTTTCGTTTTATTTTGATTTAACTAAGATTTACTTTTAAGATTTCTATTTATGGTTTAATGTGTTTTTTAAAGATTTTCTTTTTCTTTTCCTCTCAGTTCATTTTGTTGCAATAGCCAAGATTTATTTGAAATAGAATAAAATAAAATTTAAAAAATATAGTTATTTTAACACCATTTGTACACAAGCAGATACAAAACAACAACAACAACATACTTTTAAGATTGTTCGAAATTTATAACTTTTATTGTAATTTTGTGAACACAAACACATATATTTGCATTCAAAATTTAATATGTAATACTATGAGAAAAATATACATACATAAATAATATAGTTAAACCATTTTTTTAACTTTTTCAATTGCTGTTATTTAAAAAATGCGAGATGGAAATGTTGGGCAACGGGCTAGTGTTTTTTAAGTACTAATATTATGATCGCAAAATCATATAATGTTCGATCGATTGAATTTTCATTAGAAATTGAATTGCTCTATAAATTGAATATTCACTGAAATATTAAAGTTGTAGAATTGATTGAGTTTTAATATTCCAAAATTCCATTTGTAGAAAAAAGAAGTACCAAAAAGTTTGGTCTTATGGATTATCATTCCATCAGGATCCTATATGTCTGATTATACATATTTCTAGATTCAATATTGCAGAAAAACCGAAAAGCACCAGTTGAAGAGCGAAAAAGTACCAAAATACCTTTCCTACAGATTTTCATTCACTGAGGATTTAAGTTTCTAGTTTCAATATTATAGAAAAGTCAAAAAATACCTTTTGAAGAACGAAAAAGTACCAATAAGTCCCCTCTTATAGGTTCTCATGGTTAATTTCACGTTTCCACGTTCAATATTGTAGAAAACTCAAAAAGTACCAGTTAATGAACGAAAAAGTACAAAAAATATCCTTGGTACCAGAGTTACAAATAGCACCCCATTTTTTATTTTTCCCATATGAAGCTGTATGTTGTTGTTTTTTCTTTTTGTCACAGAATGCACAAAAATTAAATTTTCCGAGTTTGCCTCGGATTTATGCTCATATATCCATTACTTATGGACCGATTTTACTGATTTTAAATAGTGATCTCGAAATAATTATTGAAAATTCCAAATTCGCAGAAATCTGGGATCTTACTGATACTACACTTGATCAAAAACTTAACCCCCAACATACCAAGTTTTAAATTAAAAACAAATTGTTTTCCAGTGCGTTTCTATTTTGCAATTTTTTTTGTTAATTTTACATTTGCTTGTTATTTTTTATGATGAGAATGAATACTTGTATAAAATGATTGATGATTATGATATATTAAGTCAGGATTAGATTATACATCTTCCTGACCACAGTCTTAATGAAAATGTTATTAATGAGATGATGTTTAAAGTAAAAAAGGAATTAAAAGAAAAATAAAACAAAATTAATAATTTTTAGATAATTTGCAAAAACATTTGCAGATAGTAAAACATCGAAACATCTTTATAAGACAAAATAATAAACTCAGAAAAGAAATAGTCTTAGAAACGTATGAAAAGTTCTTAAGGTTGTTCCGGTGTTTTTAGATTGTATTTCGTTTTGATGTTATTCAACTCCTCCTGTTTCTTGTCCACATCTAAACGTTTAAAGGCCTTATTCGATTGATAATACAAGACCACCAGATAACGATTACAAACATTGAAGCCAGACAAGTGGTCACAAGCGTTTTTGGCATCAAATATATCCTCATAGACAACAAAAGCAGTACCACGGGTCTCAGGTGTATTGCCACTAAAACAAAGAGAAAAACAATCTATTAGTTTTCCTAATTAATAAATCCCTAAAATCCTCAACAACTTACACTCTTATTTGTCGTATGGCCCCAAATTTTCCAAATATATCATACATTTCTTCAGATGTGATTTTGTAGGGTAAATTACGTACATACAAAAGGCGATTGACCTCAGGAGGTAAACGTATCTTGAAAAGTTAAACGAAAAAAAAACAAGAATTAAAATGTATACACAAAGCCACACACATACAGGCAACGTTGCTAAACGTTTCGTTTTGCAAACAAGTTAAATAATTTTAGTAAAAAACTCCCTTAAAATTAAATAGGTATAAGAAAAAGAAAACTTACATTGTTGCGTTTATTCATAATGAAATTGCAAATTCACCGCTTGTCTTGCTGATGTTATACCTCAATGGGCAACTACTCTGCGTCCGAGCCTTCTCCTTAATAAAGCGTGTCTTATTTCTTGCTTTGCCGTTCGAAGACTGATTCACTTCAGTTCTCGCTGTTCTAGTGGTAAATTTATTTCTTTGTTTACAGTGTAATGCCGTTTAAAGGTCCTTTGTCCTTTTGTTTGATACACTATTTAACGTGTTTTTTCTGTAGTTTTCTTTTTTTTATTTTCTTTTTGATATAAAAACAATAAAACTTTTTTCGATGTCTGCTTAGAGACCGGCGTCAACAAAAAAATTAACGACGTTGGCCAATGCTATAAAAAGCAACGGCTATGATTTTATGCCCGTGGCGGCAAATTGTATTCTCTTTTACTGGCAATGATGACAATAAGTTATTTCCTAGTTAAATGTGGCGTTTTTAGGTATATTTTTAATTCAGGGATGGAAAAATTAATATTATTATTTATTTTTTTGCTATTTTACTAGGAATAAATCGATTTTCTTTATTCTTTTACCAAATAAATTTAGACGATTTTTCTCTAGAAAATTTCATCAGAAAATCGAAAATCCATTAGAAACTTGAATTTTGACTAGAAAATTTAATTTTCGCTAAAAATTCTAAATTTCAATTAAAAAATAAATTTCATTAAGAAATCAAAATACATACTACTAGAAATTTTTACTTATACCAAAAAATCAAAATTTCACTAAAAATTTTTATTTCTCTAAACAATCGAAATATTATTAAAAATGGTAAATCACTAAGAAATCTAAATTTTACTAAAATATCTAAATTTCAGTCAATATTCGATATTCAAACTAGAAATTAAAATTTTCAATAAAGAATTAAGTTAGATTTTCAACATTTTATTGTTTTAAATTTATCTCCTACTGTCATGCCTTTGATTTAATAAATGATTTAAGATGTTTAATTTTGTTTCTGTATTATTACTTGATGTCAAAAGGTTATCCCATTAAAAATTTCGTTAGAATTTAGTATGTAGAACATATTTTATTTTACTTTAACTTATAAGCAAGCGAAATAAAAATTTACAATAATATGAGTATAAATACATATTTTTAATAATATGCTTTAAAAACTAATACAACAAATAAACAACTGGAATATTTATTATTAACGAGAATTCGATTCGATTCGTGATCCCTATTATGTCAGCTTAAAATATTACAATGAGACACTTAAGCACTTTCCACTAGTTGTGTGACGGAATCTTTGGTAATGAGCTGTAAAAGAGCACCGGATTTAGGGCGTTCTTCTCCCTTAGTCCACTTGTGGAAGAGACTGTAAGTAGCATTAAATGTTAAGATACATTATTTTTACTTTATGGGAAAATGTACTTACCTAGCAACTTCAGTTAAAGGAGTCCAGGTGGTGAAATCAGCCTTAGGCATCCATTTACGATTCATGGCAGTATCCAAAGTAACAGGTAAAATAGAAACGACTAAAGCATCTTGTGGTAAACCAGAATCTTTGCTAGCCAAAGAGCGTGTAAGCTGATGAACAGCAGCCTTAGCCATACCATAACCTATCATACCAGGAGTACCTTCTAAAGCAGGTTTAGCACCAGTAAGGGCCAAAACGCCACCCTCTTTCAAATGGTGAGAAGCTACGGTAGCCGAAATAGCAGAAGTCCAAACACTTTGACGCCACATTAAATCAGCATTTTTAGCCAAGTCTAATAAAATAATTGAAATTTACAACTAGAAAAATATAATATTATTTTGCTTATACCTTTTTTGGCATTACCACCGGCCCAGCCGCCAGCTACACAAATAACAGCATCCAATTTTTCCCCTTTCAAGGTTTCAGCAACTTTAGTTAAAACCACTTGCTCCTGTTCGGGCCAAGTAGCATCACGGGGCACTACAATGCTAACATCAGCCTGGTCATTTTCACTTAAATCTATGCTGCCAACCCACTGCAACAAATAATTGTATGTATAATAAAAAAATATGAATTAAGTGAAAGTTAATTTTTATATAGAAGGTCAATTACTTGGCTAATTAAAGCAGTTTTTTTAATTTCAAATACTCACATAATTATTGTTTTTAAAATGTGAAACACATGCAGCTCCTAAAGCTCCTTTACCACCGTATACCAACACACGACCGACAGACATTATAAGATTTTTTGTTAAGTTTAAAGAAGCCAGCTACGTCAGAGAGAGAAAAAATCCAACCAACCGTTAGGGAGGAATGTCAAGATAAGACTAAATATAAATTAAAGTATTCTTAAAGTAACAACAGAGTCTGTGGGGCAATAATATACTATATACACATGCAATACAACTACATATACTATAATAAATCGATTTGTTTTTAGCGGCAATAACACTTGAATGGGGAAAGGGAATCTCTATACTTGTTGCTTGCAAAGAAACTTATATTTAATTCATTCTCAAAGCCGGTTCATGATTAAGTGGCAAAACCTTTAACAATAAAAATAAAGCTTATTTTTCTTACGTATGTATATTAGTATAGTGTATTGTTCTTTCTGTTGAATGTTATGAGAGTTGGTATTAGAAATAAAATGTATTTTTGTCTTAGTGTTAATAAAACTATACAGAAAAAAACCTAGTGTAACAGATACTATGCGTTCTGTTTACAAGCTCTCAACATGTATCTAAAAAATACACGATTTTTTTTTATTTTTTCAATAGATAACCTTGAACCTTTATGAAATTACACTAGCCGTCAAAAATTTCATTAAACTCTTCAACAGCACTTAACAATTTTAAATAGTTTTCACTATAATCTTGTCTGTAACTTCTCCGCATTCTTCACTACAACCAAATATAGTCCTGACAATAATCTCCTTATAATCTTAGCTATAATATAACTACTGTCTGGAATACAGTCGCACTATGGACTTGTCTGTAATCTTTGTATAGTCTTCGCAATAATAGTACTATTTTTCCTTTAATATCACTATAGTCATCATTTGACTTTAACCCGACTATTGTCCTGACAATATCATTATAGTCTCATTCTGGTCTTGACTATAGCCACACTAGTATTTACTATAGCCTCACTGTATATGTATAATCTCACATTATACATGACATTAGTGTCCATATAATCTAGATTTCAGAATAAGTATGTATATATAGTCTTATAATCACACTATCTACATTGTAGATTCTACAAACACAAAACAAAGCCTAAAGAATGTCCACATTTTTTAGATACTAGTCTAATATGTTTGTACTTATGTATGTATATTGTCTAAATTCTTCGATAATAATCCTTATTTCACCGGCTTTTGGAACTTTAATAGTGGTACTAAAATTATTTTTTGTTTTATTAAACAAATTATATTTTTGTTTGTGTGCACTATAAATGCTTACCTTTTCGAATTATATGAAATATAATAATGGAAAGATTTTCCACACGATTTTCACTTATTTTGTAAACAACAACAATTTATCTACTTCTCTTTTTCATTAGTTTTCGCAAGTGCGGCAAACAGAGCCCTGCGCCGACAAATATTATCGGCGGCGGCTTAAAATCGAATGTAAGCCGGCTAAGTTTTCAACTACGTTTAGTTTTTAAATTTTCAACGATTTTAAATAAAAACGGAATCCGAGAGATCAGAAAGTGGGATTTTGGAAGCAAATATATTGTTTATAACAACAAAACAGATCAAGCTCAAAAGAAATTATGCAGGGATGAATAAAAAATTCTTAAAAATTAAAAACAAATCCTTTCTCCAAGTTTTACGAGGATCTGCCGATATTTAACACTATCCTCCATATAAAACGTAAAAACAAAGATATTTTATTTGTTTATTTACTAGCTACACCCAGTGTGCTGTGCTACCCTAAAAGCAATATAAATAAGAAATCCAGTTAACGATTTTGATGATTCTAACTACAATGGTTTTCCAGATATACAATTTGTTACATATGGAAGATTCCACGAAAATTATTGCAATTTCTCTAAATGTTCTTCAGTAAAATTTGAAGATTCTAGCTCTAATAGTTTCTCAGATATACGAATTTTTCTATTTAATTCATATGGGAGCTCCAAGCCACCCAGATGAAAGTCCGCCCTTTTTTCTCCAAAATGTTCAGATTAATATTAAAGTTCTTCGTGCAAAATTTTGAAGAATGTAGTTCTATTAGTTTCCCAGATAAACGAATTTATGTATTTAATTCATATGGGAGGTTCCGCTCCCCTCATTGGTAATCCCCCAATTTATTAATTGTTCTTCCAGAACAACATCATTTAAAGGTATCACAAAGAGGTTGAAAAATATTCCAAAAGTTTCACTTTGAAAACATTATTAGAGTGTATGAAAACTCGCAACTCTAGAGGCAGACTATTCCTATTTTAGCGGTAATTTCTTTATGATTAAAATAAGTAAGGAGTAAGTGTTATATTCGGCAAATCATTTGTCGTAAAAAGGCAAATTTCGGAAGTGGTCATATACATATATATATGGACTTTGATCACGTTACCGTGATTTTCGGATTAGAGACTTAAATGTGGAATTGGGTCAATTATGGACCAAGTTCTCTATAATTTTAAGTATTTTTTTTTTAATTCTACCATAAATCTATCATAATGATAACTTTTGGAATGATGTATTAGCTATAAACTGATTTTCTGTAAGAGGGTTATATTGGCGGACCGATCCTCAAAATTTTATTTTTCATAAATGTAGGTTTCGGTTCCTAAAAATGTTTTTTTCTTCGACATCGACATTTGAAAGCCATTTATGTGCGTTTAAGTCATTTTCTGAAGAAGATTTCATATACATATTTACATTACATATTTTCGTTCCAACAAAGTACGTAGAAAACGTTAAAATCAATTATTGAAGGGGACAGGGTCAATTATGGCCTATAGAGATTTCGATTGATATCGAGCCCTTTTTGCAAAATGGACGTAAGCGAGATAAATTTTCGTTCAATTAGGATACTGCGTGTTTAATTTTATGTTTATATATTCAATATTTTAGAAAATTCAAAAAATACCAGTTAAAGAACGAAAAATTACCAGAAATACTCTAGTTTAAATTTTCATTCACTCAAGTCCTGATTGCTTAGTTTTATGTTTTTAGGCTCATTATAATAGAAAATTCAAATAGTACCAGTTGAAGAACGAAAAAGTACCAAAAAGTCCCGTTTTATATATATAATTTCATGTCTATAGGTTCAATATTATAAAAAATTCAAAAAGCACCAGTCGAAGAACGAAAAAGTACCAAAAAGTCCCCTTTTATATGTTATTACTTAATCTGGGCTGTACATTCTTAATTTCATGTTTCTAGGTTCAATATTATAAAAAATTCAAAAAGTACCAGTCGAAGAACGAAAAAGTACTAAAAAGTCCCTTTTTATAGATTATAATTTACTCCGGGCTCTACATGTTTATTTTTATGTTTCTAGGTTTAATTTTATAGAAAACTCGAAAAGTACCAGTCGAAGTACGATAAAGTTCCTCTTTTATAGATTCTCATTTACTCCAGGCTCTAAGTGCTTAATTTCATGTTTCGAGGTCAAATATTGTAGCAAGCTCAAAAAATACCAGTCAAAGAACGAACAAGTACCAAAAAATGCCATTTTGTAGATTCTCATTTACTCCGGGCTTTACGTGCATAATTTCATGTTTCTATGTTCAATTTAATAGAAAACTCAAAAAGTACCTTTTGAAGAACGAAAAAGTACCAAAAAGTTCCCTTTTATAGAACCTCACTTAATCCGGGCTCTACATGCTTATTGTTATTAGGTTCATTATTATACAAAAACTTAAAATGTACCTTTTGAAGAACCAAAAAGTCCCCTTTTACAGGTTCTCACTTAATCGGGACTCTACACGCTTTCATGTTTCTAGGTTTAATATTATAGAAAATTCAAAAAGTTCCTTTTGAAGAACGAAAAAGTACCAAAAAGTCCACTTTTATAGATTCTCAAGTGCTTAATTACATGTTTCTAAGTCAAAAAAGTACCAGTCGTAGTACGATAAAGTACCAATAAGTCCCATTTTATAGATTCTCATTTACTCCGGACTCTACTTGCTTAATTTCATGTTTCTAGGTTAAATTTTATAGAAAACTCAAAAAGTACCTTAATTATTAATTTCATGTTTCGATTTCAATATCATAGAAAACTTAAAAAGTACCAGTAGGAGAATGAAAAAGTACCAAAAAATATCACTTGGTACCGGTGTTCCAAATAACACCCCATTAGCATATTTAGTGTTTCTTGAATAAAATCAAATTTCCCGTTTTTCCCCTTTTGGTACTTTTTTCCTCCCCATTAACGAAAATTCTGTACCAAACAGTTGCAACATCGTAGTGGGAGCCCGTTATTATGTATTCATATGTATAAGTTAATAAACCAAAAACAATGTTTCATAAAAAAGTACCAAAAATAGGTACAATTTTCACCCCTTAGAGCGGGTTTTTGAGATGGTAATCAAATGCCAATTAATAATCAGATTAGTTAATCTAAAAATAAATTTAATCTTATGTTAATCCCCTTTGATGTTTTTGAGTACAAGATTAAACTTCGCAGTGTTGCCATACAAAACAACAGAAAATGTCACTGTTTGTTATCAAAACAATGCATATTTTATAAAAAAGAAGAAGACAATTGTAAATTTAATATGAAAATTAATGAAAACTTAAATTAAAAACAAAAAAGTGTATTTTGAAGTGTCCATAATTTATACTAATCAACAAATAGAACATTTTAATGTTTATATTTATAAAAATTTTATTAATTTTTTTGCATCAGCTGTTTACACTTTTGCATTTCGTGCTTAAGATTAAACGACCTCCATTGGGCGCTTAAACTTGCAAACAAAATTAACTAATTGAGTACTCAAAAACATCTTTCGAGGATTAATTTTAATTTAATCGCTAATCTTTCACCTAAAGATTGGCCCTAATTAACTTTGTGCTATAATAAACATATAATGAACAAAATTTGTCAGTAACTCTTTAACAGTAAAATCTTTTTTGTAGTAAATTTTTTTATTAAATGTGAATCGTGAGCAGATTAGTGTTAAATTTTAACAGTAATGAACACCACCATCTTAACCCATGATGACATTTGACATTTAAGCAATGCTACCAACTTTAGAAAACAAAAAACACCGAAAACACAACAGAGATCTGCGACGATTCGGCTTAATACCGACTAAGTCCAGCCGTCAAAGAAATTTTAAAGCCGTCGCTGCCGAAAAATTTTCAGCTTAAGATGTTTTGAAAATTTACGCCTCATAGGCACAATATTTTATACAACTTTATGCAATTTTACAACATAAAATTATTTTTTTTTTTTAATTTCAGCGGATTTTCATTTTTCCCATAATAGGCTAAACGTTGAAACTTTGCCGACTTACAGTTGAAATTCAAAGTGTTACCGACGACGTCGTTAATGTTTGTCGCCGCAGGTCTCTGAAATACAACTCGTTGAGAGAAAAGCTAATAAAATAGAAAAACTGTTCGTGTCAATTTGTTGTATATTATTTTTCTTTAATTTCACAAATTAATCATATTTATTTAAATAAAAATTATATAAATTACATCACTATAGCTAAAAATAAATGTATATATAGAGATATTTTCCAATAAAATTGTGTAAATATACAAAAAAATCGATATGAATAAAATTTTGTGAGAACGTGTGTGTGTGTGTGAATGAATGTGTGTGTGTTGGAACAAAATTAAGTCAAGTCTCGGAGGCGGCTAAATAATACATTGGAACAACAATAAAATATAATTTTAATATATTTGTGCAATAAAAATACATATTTTAAAAATATTATGAACAATACATAACTTAAAAATATGGAGAGAAGAGTTAAATTGAAATCTATAAATCCTCACATTACTTGTAAAATCTGTGGAGGCTATTTCATTGATGCCACCACAGTTACAGAATGTTTACATACCTGTTAGTATAACATAATAATTTATTTCTAGTGTTTTCTTAAATTAATTTTTTTAATTTTAATTTGTGTATTCAGTTTGTAAAAGTTGTTTGGTAAAACATCTGGAGGAGAAGAAGACCTGTCCTACCTGCGAAAATGTTATACATCAATCTCACCCGCTTCAGTATATTAGCTTTGATCGGACAATGCAAGATATTGTTTATAAATTAGTGCCAAATCTACAAGAAGGTAATTTATTGCTTAAATAATGTTTAATGAGTTTAAAGAACTGATGGTACCTAGTTGAAGTTGTTCGTAAAAAACAGTAGTTTTTTCTAGAATTTGAAATGTTGTACAGTCAAATAGTCTTGACTATAGTCTCTCTGCAGTCTAGATGAAGTTTTGACTATAGTCCGCTATAGACTTGACTATAGTTCTACTGTAGTCATGACTATAGTCTCACTATAGTCTTGATTATAGTCCCTCTGTAGCCTTGACAATAGTACCACTATAGTCTTGACTATAGTTCCTATATAGACTACTGAACGCTTGACTATAGTTCTAATATAGGCTTGAATAAAGTCTTGATTAAATTTGGAGCTATGGTTCAATATATTCTTGACTATAATCTTGACTATGGTCTCTCTTTAGTCTTGACCAAAATATTTTTATTACGGTTCAAAATTTGCGATAGCTCTATACAGCCATTCTTCCGAAAATGACTTAAGATCGCAGTAGTTTATAATAAAGTCGAACTTAATATATGCTATAAAAAAATAAATTTTTTTATATTCTCAAATTAGATGAAATGCGTAGAGAGCGTGATTTCTACAAGAGTCGTAATATGGCATGTCCCAAAGATTTGCCACAAAATCATGACGATGACAATGAAAAGGTTATGGAAGCACATGCTGAATCCGATTTCCATCGATTAGACGAACAAGTCAATGTCTGCTTGGAATGCATGAGTAACAATTTCAAAAGCTTACAAAGACGTTTCATACGCTGCAGTTCTCAGGCGACAATTACGCATCTTAAGAAATTGGTGGCCAAAAAGATTTTAAATGGCATTGATAAATATAGAGAGGTACGGTATATAAAGTTTTACTAAATCATTTAAGGTATTATATGCTTTTAAATTTATATCCTTTCAGATTGATATATTGTGCAATGAGGAATTGTTGGGCAAGGATCATACCTTAAAATTTGTTTATGTTACCCGTTGGCGTTTTCGAGAGCCTCCTTTACGTTTACAATTTCGTCCTAGAGTAGAAATTTAGTTTTACCCGAAATTATTATTAGTCTTACAACCCTTTTTCTCTATGTCTGGTTAGTTTTTGTTAACGCACTAATATATTGACAGATTTTATACAATTATTTGACCAATTCACAATTGATGTTCTAGCGTTGTATGTCATTAATATTTTTCAAACTAAACTTTTAATAACAAAAAAAAAAATACCACATACAACAATACGACAACGTTTGTGTATTGAACAATTATTTTAACCAGATCTTTACGTTAAACTTCAACCAGATGTTGAGTTAGTGGGACTTTAATATTTTACATAAACTAAAATTTAATATGTACCATTAACTGTAATAAAGCATATTATTAAGTCAGAGTTATCTATATATACAGATATATATAACAAATAATATAATACATTTATTTAAAAACTAATAGTTTAATTTAACTAGCTTTTAATACGAACGAGTCTTATTTTAAATATATTTTAATTTTTTTATATGTTTTAAGCTTTAATGATGTTTATTATTAAACTGCTACAACTACTTACTATTTTATTTTATAATTTTTTACACAAAACTTCCTTTCAGAAAACCTGATTTTTTAATTTTATTACACATTTATAATGTTTTTAATCAAAAAATCTTTCTATTTACACATTTTACACTTTTAATTTTTATTTTCTTTTACATACTTCCATTATGATTTGCAAAACAAACACTTTATACAAAGAAAAATAGTTTTATATATTTATATATATTTTGTATATACACAATTAAAAATTTATTAGATAAATAAATAATTTATAAAAACAACAATAATATGTTTTTTAATATTAAATGAGTTGTTATTAACTCACTTTAGAAAAGTTCCGAAACTATTAAAATGTCGATATAGGATATTTCTACGTATATCCTATAAAGTTCTCTCAGTGGAGTCGTTTTAGCCATGACGGTCTGTCCGTATGTATGTTGAAATCGGTTATAAGAACAACACAGATATTTGCGAAATCGGAATGTTCAGTAATTCTATCAGACATGTTATCGAGAAGTTTCTTATTCAAAATCAATAACGGAGGTATGAGCAAAATTTCGAAGCAAACCCATGAAAATATTAAATTTCTTCTCATTATCTACTATATATTGACATAAACTTTAGTACATATAAATCTAATATCAATAGAAATCGTATTACCAACTAAAACTTGGATCGGTCCATAGCTCCCAAAATAAGGTCCAATTCCGAAAATCAATTAAGCAAAAATATTTGATTAACAAATAATATCGGCATAAAATTCTACACAATTATGTGTATAATTATATATAAAAATCATTCAGCAACACTTTTTGCGGACTGGTCCATTATTTGTTTACTACTTAAGCCTTCAAAATTTATAAATTTCTATAATTATTCGACGTGTTAATAAAAAAGTAGCAAGGGTATATAGTATAGTTCTCTAACTTGTTTAATATGTATGTATTTAGTTGGTCAGGTTCGATAATTCGTAGATTAAAATAGCTACATAAAAATCGCCAAATTGCCAGCATTTTCTAATAAATGAAATCTTAATGCATATATGTATATGAAAGTTTTGTGTTGCGAAATTTTAAACAGCTGTGTTTGTTTTTGTTTTGCATAACAATAAACCCAGAAAAAATAAGAAAAATACTATTTTTTACAAATAATTTTAATTTTTATAATAATACTATATTACAAATAATTCTACATACATGAATGCCGTTATTGCATTGTGTCACTTTTGTGAGGCTCATGGTCCCTCGGCTATATTTAGTACACAAACCCTTAGGGACACAAAATTGGATGAACTATATTCAACGGCAGCTTTACAAACTTCGAATAGTGTGGCTGGAAAACAGTGTGCGGCCTGTAACTCCATTGGCCAGACAAATGGTTTGTATAGTAAGGATAATGAAAGTGGAGCCACCTTTTTGAGTACACAACAGTCGGCACTGCCGGAGGTGGCGACATTGGTAAAGCAGGCGGCAGTGCGTAGTTTAAGCTGTGAAATAAATCACAATAAAGATGGAGGTTTTGTATTTTTTGGAGACACTTCTAGGGGTCATGTTTTAAGTCACACCTTCCACGTTAGTGATTTGCAGGTATGCAATGGCATGTTTTTAAAGAAAGTTGTTAATTCTACTATTGTTTCTCTCATATAGGCTCGTGGTTTTTATCAACTGTTTTCCATTATCATTCTCATGAAAGACAAATATTTTCTTTTAAATACTAAACCCTTTTTGGCAGAACATTTACGTAAAATTTCTGCAGAATTACAAAACGGCGCTAAACGCATACGGGAAGAGGAGGAATTAAAGGGTTCCCCACGACAACGCCGTTTATCCGGTTCACAGCCCTTAGTACAAACCCCTAGATCATTAATAGAACTTACAGGAGAAGAAAATGTATTTGCCGTTTTGCACTCGCATTTCTCATGGCTTTTATTGGCAGGTTCCCGGTTTCTTACAGAACACGTTACCTTTGGCAATTTACCCTGGCTACCGCCACAAAGTAGCAGTCATCCACCACAACAGAGACTTACCTATAATATTACAACTTTGCCCATGATACAAAAATATGAGACTCTGGATGATGCCGAGGAATTTTATTCTTTACGTTACATAAAACAGGTGGTGCGAAAAGCAGAATTTGCCTCGGTTTGCTATTGTGCTTTAACCGGTATTAAGGTATAGATTATGATTATTGCAAGACTTTTGGAAGAGTTTTTTTTTAATATATGTTTTACAGATTATAGTACGTGGGGATCCAGCTCGTACTTTTCATTTTATGATGTGTCTTAAGAAACTTTTACCTGAACAAATGCACTCTCTTATACGGGTCGATGCACAGCATCAACATTCCATTAGTGCAGATTATAAAATCATTTCAATATCAAATGAAATTGCAGTACCCATGGCTAGTTCATCTGTATTTCGTATAGACTTTTTGGAAGAATCTCTGGGCAATAATGTTTGCATAAAATGGCCGGGTTCCGTACCAACAAAACGTAGGTGTTTTAGACTAGATTATAGTACAGACTAGACTTCCTCTATAGTCCCGATTACAGTCCAGAAAATAAACTAGATTACAGTCCAGACCACAGACTAGACTAGAATATCGTCTGCAGACTTTAGAATAGACAATAATCTAGACCAGCGAAACTAAATGAGCTATCTTGTACTCTTTCTCGCGTACGTATGGCCACATTTATGAGAAACCAGTCAGAGAACACATTATTTACTCTCTGCCGATGTTCCCCCCGGGGCATGTTTCCATGATGAAATGTCCATCATGGTGTATTGCAATCCCGGGGTAAAGAGATGCTACCAGTATCTCTAGTCTGCCGGGACTATAAACTGGTGATGTCAAATGTATCCTTGGCTTCGCCTCGGAATGATTTGGCATGGGGTCTAACCAGAGTACCATATAATCTGGCACTACGGGTGGCCGGTTGCCCACAGGACCTAGTCCTGGCCGGTCAATTGGTTGAGGTTCCTTCGAGATCCACGTAGTAGTGTGGTTGCGCGGGCTTAAAGAGGTTAAGGAATGCACTGGAATGGGTCATTAGATGATGGTGATTGCATTTTGAATAATGCAATCTTTCATGACATCATAAGGGTGGTCACCTTCCGGCTTACCGGAAGATTGATTTCACCTGATGCAGAGTGGTATAGGAAAAAAATACTGTTTTTTAAGTGACAAATTAATTAGGGAAAACTCAACATCTTTTAGAAAATTTGCCTAGCACTATTATTTTCATCCATAAGGTTAACTCTTAAATTTGTTACATATATGGATGAAAATAATAGTGCTAGGTAAATTTTCTAAAAGATGTTGAGTTTTCCTTAATTAATTTGTCACTTAAAAAACATTAGGTAGGCATGTTATATATCAATGGAAAGGTAATTTTGTCTATTTTTCAAAACTGTATATAATTTTTGAAAATTAAAAAATTCGCGGAATACTTTTTTTAAAAAAAATTAAAAAATGTTTTTTATTCAGTTTTTGCGAAGATACAAATTTTTCAAATTGCAATAAAAATTTTATTTATGAATATTTTTTGATGAAATTTTACAGTTAGGTAGATTTTTTTACTTAAAATCCAAAATTAAATCAAAATTTCGAATTTTCTTATTAGAAATCCCGGAATTCCCAAAAAAGTTTTAAAAAATCCCAAAAATGGGATTTTTTAGTTTTTTGCCTATTATATCCATACCAGGGGCGGGGTTATCGAAACCCGTTACAAAATGATTAAGAACTTATTGGGTCATATAAAACAGGTCACTATAATTTGATATCGACTATGCGATTTGAGAATTTTTGCTCAAAATTTAATTTTCCATAAAAAATAGGGTTTTTTTGGATGGACCTGGTCCCCTCGGTATCAAAAATTTTTAGGTTTTGTTTCATTTATCGTATTTTATGTAAAGTCAGCTTTCCAAAAAGTATAAATTCTATATACATCTTCTTAGAAACTTTTTAGATAACTTAAAAAGAAAAAGATACTTTTTTCCCAAAAAAATGACAAAAAATCGCCTTTTTTTAATTTTTTAAATTTAAATGCCTATAACTTTGGACTCAGTCATGATTTTTACATAATTCTTTCACTGCTTGGTATATAAACTTGTTGTTAAGCAAATAAAAAAAAATGGCGAAAATCGGAAATATTTGGACCTGCTATTATCAAAAAAACTAAAGTAAGGACGGTAAAAATTTTAAAATTTTAATATTCAAATGCGAATATCTCCTAAACTATAAGAGATAATTTACTGCTACGACGACATTTTTTATAGTGCTCGATGAGGAGATTCTATATACGAAATTTTTTTTAAATCGGAACTCAAATGAAGAAATAGGATCATTTTAAAAATTTAACATAGCCGAGGTGTCCTAATTTGATGACCCCCCGCCGGGCCCCTGGTTGGCCTATAAGGTCCAAATTCAAAACCTAAACTCGACAACACCTCCTCTTTGTGCACACCAAATTTCATTAAAATCGGATTAACCGTTTAGAAGTTACCGAATTATTTCCCTCTTTTTTTTTTCCTATACCACTGTGTGATGTTGGGACTTGTCACCCCCTTCTATTGACTTTAGACCAGTGATTGCTTTTTCCTTGTCGGGGTTTGCATTGAGATTGATCCCATGCTGCCTGTCATTCCGCAACGGGGCTACTATGGCAAGAGATTAGATAGCTCGAGTTCTTTAACAAAGTACTTGTACATGGACCGGCTCAGCCATGTACAAAAATTGCTACCTGAGTTCTTCATTGAAGAATTCAGGGGCGCGGGTAGACCGTCTCTAGTGGATGAAAAAGACCACCGTGAAATTAGGCCGTCAAGGCAGGTGTTCACGTTAAACTCTCGACATTCTCTGCCGATGTATAATCTATACAACAATAAAGATTATAGACTTTATTTAAGACTAGTCTAAAATATGTTATAAATTTTTAACCTTCATAATCATTTTCAGTGCCGGATTTATTGGTGAAATTGTTAAAAGCTGTTGATGAAACTCGTTTTACAGAATTGGTGCTAAATCGTCATACCCGGGTTTTGGTAGAGGAATGGAAAAAGTATAAAACTAATATAGATTTCCAACAAAAATATAAACACTTTAATCGTATTCCATTTTTTAATCCATTAGCAAAGTTATCTGTCTCAATCATGCCAAATCTACCAATGGTCAAGCCAAATTAAAGAGAGTATTAGGTGTTCAAACTCAGGATCAACCACTATTAAACTATTGGAGTGCACACTTGCATTAGATTATGTTTTGAATACAACACACATTTTTAATTTATATACAAATTTTACAAAAAAATAAATAAAAACACTTTCGAGTATTATTTAAAAATGCTCCTTCAACCAAGACTCGCTGGTTTGTGGGAACCAAAATCATAGAAACTGATTTCTGTTTTATTATTCACGTTCTTATTGAATATACGGATATTTTTTCCTTATTGTTGGATATTAGCAAACTTAATTATTGTAACTAAACAAACAAAAAGATAAAAACTTTTTGTTATTTGTTTACTTCTTGTAACCACAGCTGGAACGACGACCACGAGCACGTTCAAATTTGCGACCCTTGGAGCGTACGTAGGGGCGAGTGTGGGAGTGGGGTACACCGGGAGCTTTGCCGAAGTGTTTGCAGGCAGTACGGGCGGTACGCTTACCTTGCAACAACAAGCAGTTCTTGCCAGTGGGTGACTTGAGGGCCAATTGATCGAAGGTGATAACTTCACCACCAGCCTTCAAGATGCGTTCGCGAGCGGTTTGGGTGACGTGCAAAGCACAGACGCTCATCTTGGGTACGGTCAATAGACGTACGTCATCGGTGACGGTGCCAACAATGACAACAGTGGATTCGGGTTGCTTGGCGGCTTTGAAGAAACGGCTGACGCGTTGCAAGGACATGGGTGGTCTGTTGGTCTTGCTCATAAACAAACGTTTCAACACGATGCGGTTGAACTTTTTGTTGGTACGACGTTGAAGGAAACGGTACAACTACAAAGAAAACAAAAACAATGTCAAAACAATTTTTTCGTCGCACAATAAATCCAATTTTCAAAGAAAATGTTTAGCACCAGGAAAATTAGGTTTCCTTTCTAGATTACGGGGCTACATTTTCTTTTTTTTTGTATTTACACTTACCTTGACCAAAAGACGCAAGTAAACATCTTGGGATTTGGGCTCAGTTCTGCGAACCTTACGATCGTATTTGTGGCTAATATCAATACCCTGCAAAAGTAAACACAGAAAATATTTGTTAATTCACATATTCCTTAAAGTTGTTTGCAACATTTCACTATTCACTTGAATTTTTCATTTCGATTTTTTATGATTGTTTACAATTTAATTTTGTTAAAAAATTTTTCACTACAAGTCTTACCATTTTGGCGACCGGAAAAAGAAAGAGACGTAGTTCGCAGGTCTCAAATGTCAACTTGACATTACAGTTGCACCTGAAGTTGGCTGCAGTTTATTTATTTTGACATTTTTGCGTATTTCATAACATATGGCAACACTTTGGGTTTGTATATTAGCTAGAGTATATAGCGAATACATAAACCTAAATACTATTGTAAAATTAATAAGTAATTAAAAAATTTCTGATTTTTTATATAAATTAACATTTTTTAAAAGAATAACTTCGTAAATTTTTTTTCATACTTTACTATTAACACTTTTTTCGTTTTTTAGTCTGTGTGCCAAACGGTAGCAAAGTTCTATGGTAAATTTATTGAGGTTTAACATTTTACAAAACAGAGTTGATTTTTTCTTTCTAATTTTAAAAATATTAATACATTTGGTTTAAAAGTAATTTCTATATATAAATTGTGTTTTCAGAAACAAAAAATGTTCACAACTTTCAATTCTTCAAAATTTGAGTAAGTATTTCAGTGAATTAATAAATAATTGTATAAAAAATACTGAGAAATTTACGAAAAATGTTAATATTGGTGAGTTCTTATTAGATGAAGTTTTCCACAAATTTGCTCCATTGATTAAGTTTCTTTGTTATTGGAAATGAGCAATGTTAGTCCATGACTTTACATAGACCTTAAAAATGTCTCCTCAAAATAAAGTTCATACAGCCATTTATATATTGATTACTCAGATATCGTATAATAAACAAGCTTATATTGATTTCCGTAACACGTCTGATAATCTTAACCATGATTAAAAAATATTTTTATACCATGATCTTAACTCCCCCAAAAGTATAATAAATAACAATTTTTCTTTCTTTTTTGCTTAATACTTCTTCTTTTTTACTATTTTCATAAATAAAACCATAACTATAAATGTTACTATCACAAAAACAATCATCAGCCACATCCAACATTTCCAGGCATTTCGTGAATGATCCTCCAACTTTTCAGTTTCTTTATTTAGCGCTCCAATATTACGATCTGCCATGCCAGCAGAACGTGACACCATCTCAGTATCTTTCTTAATTATTCTATTAGCAGTTTCTGTCTGTTCTCTTAGATTTCGTGTTAAGGACAACATGTGTTCCGTAATCATTTCCTGATTTTCTCTTATATATTTAACAGCTTCACTTTGTTCACCGCTGCCCGATCCTTCTTCTAAGTTTTTGCGTCTTCTTAGCGTATCTTCTTGTAGCAATTCCTTACGCAAGTCTGCATATTGTTTGGAACTTTGTAGTTGGTTCATTTCTTTAAGAGCATCATCGCCTGCCTCAGAGGCTCCACCCCTTAGTCTGGTTGACCTTAAGCGGTTGGCTGGTGGTGGACTGTCGATATAATTGGTAATGGTCTTTAAAGTTTGTAGTCTTTTCGTATAATCAGGAATTTTTTCACTGCTATAGGGACTAACAAGAAATAAGCATTAAATTAAATTTGTTACATTGACCTCTTGTTATTGTTGTTTCAACCTACTCTTCCATATTTTTAAGTTCATCGATCATAGTGTCTAGGGATTTTATAAATTTCTTTAAACGCCAAAAATTTACTTCTTCCTTGGCCAATTCTTCACAATTGGCTAATAATGTACGTATATTTACATTTAGTTTAGTGGCCATTTTAATTAATTATTAATAGTTTCTAATTTTAAAAAATTTTCTTAATTCTATGCAGTTTTTTTGTTTTTAATTATAAACAACAAACACGTCATAATAAAATGTCAAATTTTGCTAATGTCTAAGGGGCATTCACTGGGTAGTAATAACACAACATTGTTGTTAACCTGATTTTCTGAAAAGCAGCTAAAACCGCACCCAACCAAATTTATTTTCAAAAATAATATTAAATGTAATTTAAGTTAAATATTTTTAATTATAACTTCGTTTCCTCTTTAATTTTAAAAAATGTTTCTAGCTATTTTCAATAAATTAAATTGAAACTAGAAATTTAACTGTTAGTTTAAACTTCAAATATTATTACAAAAATCGCTTGTTTAGCCTACTTGTTATTTTACTATACAACTCTGTGTATATAGTGTCGCCATTTTTTTTTTTCACTACAAATTTTTCACCAATTTTAACGATAAAACATTTTGCGGTATTTCATAAAAATAAAACATTTATTTATCTGGTTTAACTGCAGCAAAAATAGCAAATAAATATAGAAAAGAAAAATTTAAGGCATTTTCTTGTGTTGTGGCTTATTTTTAAATATTTTATTTAGAGATTTTCTTAAGAATTTTGGTAAGTAAAGTTAGCTAAGGAACATCTTGAGTAAAAAAACTTAAAGAAATGCACATAAAGAAAATTTATCAATGAAAAAGAAAAAAAAAAAACTGCTAGCGGAGTCTCACTGTGTCATACGAATGTACTATTCATCGTAGTTGTTGTTGTTGCAAGTGGTTTATTGATTAATTTAATTGTGTATATACGAAGTTAAAATACCTTCCGCCCTTCCTATGGTGTGATTTTGGAAGACTAATTTTTGATACCGCATTATGATATTTTTCAAAAAGAAAGTTTTGTAATTAAAATTATATGTTAGTCTATTAAAATCTTACTATTAAACAATAAGCTCAGTGATGTATATTAGGATTTATCATTAGGGATGGTAATAGGATTTAGATTCCTTTAAAAGTGTGTAGAATAGACAGTTTTTGTTATTAGTAAACTGTTGGCTGCCACTTATTTGTTGGAACCGAATTTTCTTATCTGGAAAATGGTATTATCAAAACAGCAGGTCCCGTGGTAGTGTAATGTCAAATTCTCGTTCCTAGTAATAAAGTTAGGGTGTCCTATTGGACAGGACAAAAACAAATTATTTTAACCTTGCTAAATTGGTAAAGATATATTGACACGCACTTAGATCGGTTCTTCGCACCAGAACGACAAAAGATTGTCAACTTTCAACACGGACTCTACATGTATCTTTGCTATAACAAAAACATTAAGGACGGTATAGTCACTATTAGACACTAGACGCTATAAACGGAAATATCTATCAATACGTAGAAAAATGTGTCTATCAATTTCCAATATATGACCAACTTGATGGAAACTTTCGGATACTTGTGACATTTCAACAACAATAATGGAATTCCATCAATAGTGTTAATCAAATTACTATCACTGTTCTTGTAGGATTGTCTCTGTGTTAATATAGGTCATAAGTATTTTGTAGGAAAGTTAACTTGAAGTGGCAGATTAGGTGTTTAATTGTATTTAGTTTCCCAACATCTTCATATAACTTATAGAGTCCGAGAGGGTTATTCAGTAACTCGATTCAAAAGCAAAAATTTTCGAATTTGTAAAATAGGTACATTGTGTTTCGAAAGGTTTTTCCTATTGCATTGAAATACCGAGTGACGCCTCAGTATGGTATTGTCTCACTTACCCACAAAAACTATAAGGTTAGGTTAGATTGAGAAGGGATATGCAACTCCTCTTGGAGACCTTAAGGTCCATTGTGATCCCTTTTCGTAGAAAGTGAAGATCCAAAGATGGAGAAACAAAACACTAGTAAACAAAAAGAACATAAAGAAAGAGAAAAACCCAGTTGAAGAAGTGACTAATTCCCCCTTAAAACCCCCTCAAAGTCTTTAGACTACATCTATCTAGTCCAATAAGTATCTTGTTTGCTTTAACATCAAGTATTATGCATAAGGTCTTCAATATTTTACAATCCATTTTACTATTCGAGACAGATCTATAATGTCTCTGCATCAAACTAATAGTGACAAATGGATGGTTTTACCCTCCTGCGGCTTTTATTTAGGTCAAAAATAAAGTGTGGATTATTAATATTTTATTTAATTAAAAATTGTGCCTATTTAAAGCTACATTAACATGCAATTTTATAAAAATAAAAACTCTTTGCAGTATGTTTTTGTAAAATAAATTCTTTATATTTTTTTAATAAAAACGAACCAACTAATTATTCTAAACTTATAGAATTATAAAAAAATTAATACTTTAAACCACGTGAACGAAATAGATTAGGTTTTCGAAAGGCATTATTAAATGTATTAATACGATAACCCGGTTGAGCCTGATTTTGATAACCATTCAAATTAGAACCTGGACCTCTACTGACACCACTCAGACCAGAACGTATATTTGGAGAAACATAAGGACGTTGGCTAGTAGAGACAAAAGTATTTTGCGCTTGCTGTGGTGGCTGCTGTTGTTGATTCTGTTGCGTTGCCGGTTGCTGTTGTTGATTGGTTTGAAAGTTATTCTGAAATAATGGAGGCTGCAAAGAATTATTTGGCACTTGATTAGCAGCACCAGCTCCAGAATTTTGTTGCGGTAAAAAGTTATTTAAATTAGGATTGTTATTATTTGGCTGCTGTTGTTGCAATTGAGGCACTAATGAATTAATAGGGAAAACTGGAATATTTGCTGAAGATGATTGCGTGGTTTGTGCTATCTGCGGACGTCTGGTTAATGCTGGTGCCAAATAGGGATTAATATAAGAATTATTGTTACCGGGTATGTTATAGGTTTTACCCGATGGTGTCGCTACTGCTACACTTCCTACCGGCTGTCCGTGAATACAGGGCTTTGGATAATCATAACCTACAACAGCTTTAACTGCAGGACTTAACTGTACATAGTTATCGAAATATTGATGTACAGAATGCTCTGGCGTAGAATAGTTTAAACTTATTAAAGATTCGCGTACTTTTAAACGGCTATTATTGAAACTGGGCAATAGCTCAGCATCACCTTTGATTTTTTCCACCTCACGCATATTTTCTGTTACCTCATCCGAAATTTCCGATGAAATTTCCGTAACCGGTTTTTCCATTTCTTTAGGACGATACTTTTGACTTGGTCTAGTAGTTGTTATCTCCTCCTTTTCCTTCCTTTCCCCAAAACCTTTTTTATCTTCATTTTTCGCTTCATTTTTCTTTACCTTTTCCTTTTCCTTATCATTATTATGTTTTTTATTTACAAATTCAAAAAGATCATCCACATCTGGCACATCCGGTATTATACCATACGAATCGAAATTGTCTTTAAATTCATCGGCCCAATTCTCATTTTTATGCAGTTTTGGATCAATTTTAAGTTTTTGATTTTTATCATTTGAATTTTTAATTACTGTTATCGTTTTAACTTGGGTTCCTTCTTTATTATTAATATTGGTTGCTGCATAAGATAAACTTGTGTCTCGTTTTTCTTGGTTAGTTGAACGTCTTCGTATTAATCTCCTGCCAAAAGATTTAAATGCATTATTATAGTAGTCACCACCGAAATGATCAACCTTGCTATATTCTTCAAAAGTAGCTGCCGATGTCATCAATGACAGGAGCAGTAGTATCAAAAATTTCTGTTAATAAAAATAAAAAGAATTACAATATAGTGATTAAGAAAAAAATCGGTGAATTGAAGGTAGAGAGGTAAGTAAATATATTGAGGTTATAATTAAATAAGAAAATGTTTGTGGAAACTGAGAATATTTAAAAAAAAACTTTATATAAATCTAAAATCAAGTATCTATCCTAATTAGTGTCATACCCCTTTATACGAACAATGGCGGCAGTGAACGGGTAAAAACTGCAATTTGGTATTTTTATGCACCTTATGTATCTTTTAAAGCTCTGAATATACAAATAGTTTTATGTCTTAACTAAAAGTTACAAATATAAGTTTGGTACTATTGGGAAATTCCGACGTTTAAGGGGGTAAAAATCGTACTTAGTTTTGGTTCTTTTTTATAAAATATTGTTTTCTATTTATTGGTTTGTATATACAAATATTTGTTAATAATGTAAAATGCTATTTATCTCTTAAACTGCAGGACCAATTTAAATAAAATGTTCAAGAAAATTATTAAGGACGATTTAGTATTACTAAAAATTTACTTTGTTACCACCCTGTTAAAATAGAAGGTGAGGTATGTGGTGTTAAATGAGAGTACTTCGATTATAAAAATATATTAAAGCTTTACAAGTCTGCAAAAAAGGACCGATTTGAATTTTTGATTTTTTTTATAGTAGACATTACGGGTATTACTACTAAGTTGAGTTAAATTTTATCTCATTTATAAATGCTAGAAGCTTTAAAATAATTTTTGAAGTCGAAGAGTTCACTTCTAACACGCTGTTTTTCACCTGTTTTATATTATGATGACAAAAGACACTTTCAGTAAGGCCTGATCGTCCTAAATAATTTTCTTGTACATTTCATTTAAATCGGACCAGTAGTTTATGAGATACAATGTAATTTACCATATAAATTAAAATTTATTTCTTTAATTTATTTTCTGTTTGTTTAATTTTTCATACGATTTTGCATAAAAAACTTGCTTTCAATTACGTTTTGGTTAATAACTCCTGAACTACACGAGTCTCCACCGAAAAAATTTCACTAGAATGGAGAAGAGAGTTTAGGTATCCTCATACAATGCATTTTTATAATTTTTAACAAACAGTCTATTCTATAGTCTAGTCTATAGTCTAGTCTATAGTCTAGTCTATAGTCTAGTCTATAGTCTAGTCTATAGTCTAGTCTATAGTCTAGTCTATAGTCTAGTCTATAGTCTAGTCTATAGTCTAGTCTATAGTCTAGTCTATAGTCTAGTCTATAGTCTAGTCTATAGTCTAGTCTATAGTCTAGTCTATAGTCTAGTCTATAGTCTAGTCTATAGTCTAGTCTATAGTCTAGTCTATAGTCTAGTCTATAGTCTAGTCTATAGTCTAGTCTATAGTCTAGTCTATAGTCTAGTCTATAGTCTAGTCTATAGTCTAGTCTATAGTCTAGTCTAGTCTAGTCTAGTCTAGTCTATAGTCTAGTCTATAGTCTAGTCTATAGTCTAGTCTATAGTCTAGTCTATAGTCTAGTCTATAGTCTAGTCTATAGTCTAGTCTATAGTCTAGTCTATAGTCTAGTCCAGGGGTCGGCAAACATTTGAGTCGGAAGAGCCAAAAATTACAGTTTACAAAACATATGTTTTAAAAGAGCCACAAAATTGTTGTTTATTAAAACTTTACAAATACTTTATGAATTCACTTCAAAAACATAAACTTGGTTTAATTATCTACAGGACATTCTGCAAGGAATCTTACATATAGATTTTTGACTACAAATACTTTTTGAATTTATATGGGTCATTCGAATGCATTTTTTAAGCACTCGTTATTTAAAAATATAGAAGTTTATTAGAGTAGGGCGACAGTGTTATCATTTAAAAGGCATTTGGAAACATATCAGGAAATGTAAAAATCACGAAAATTGATGACGCAGCTAATACAGTATAAAGTAATATATTATTTTGGCGGCAATCGAGATAAATATTTTACCAACCCCAATATTAGGTCATTTTCAGGAAATGACTAACGATCATAATTGACTTAACAGTAGCAATATAGCAGCGAAATTCAAAATATACAAGTTTTATAAGAACAAATATCTATCTTCCAAATTTGATTTTAACGTTTATAACTGTCTTAATAATAGCAATATTATGACAAAATTCAACACAAACAAAACATAATTGACAAATCCCCTTTAAAAAGGTCTACTTCGGAAAATAACTTTAACGTTCATAACTGATTTAATAATACATATTAGTATAGCGACGCAATTCGACACAAACAAGTATTATAGGAACGAAAATCTCTCTCCAAAATTTTGTAAGGATCAGTTCATTGTTGACCATACCCCCATATAAATTCCTCTTCAGGAAATGACTTCAACGCTCATAACATGCTTAATAATACCAGCATAGTGGTGAAATTCGTCATAAACAAGTTTATAGGAACAAATATATCTATACCAAATTTAATAAGGATGGATTCAGAATTGACCCTACCCACCCATATAGTGTCCACGAAAACGACGAAAAATACAAGTATAGTGATGAAAATCAACACAAACAAGTAGGGTCCAAAATCTCATTACCAAATTTTGTAAGGATGTGTCGGTCCATAATACACTGTAAAACGTTTCTAAAACGCGCAATATTTAAATATTGAAGTTTTTAAATAGAACAAGTTTTTAGTATTTACCCAGCCAAAAATTCGGTAATGGGTTGTACTTCCATAACCACTTACTTTTCAATGACTACTACTTACCGTCTGCATTACTTAGAAGTATTCTAGTAATAACTTTCTTATAATCTGATATAGAAGTACTTTATTTTCGGTATTGTCATTTTTTTTTTTTTTTTTTTTTTGTCGTTTTAAGTATTGTGTTTTACAAAAAATAAAACAAAATTAATTTTGATGTGCAAACCATTATTTGATGCGCAATAAAATAGCTATGCAGTGTGTAGAACATTTGACTAAAAAATCGAAGTCCCTGGTTCGTATCCTAGCTGGCTCTTTTTATTATTAAAAAACAAAACAACTTACTCAACAACTGTTTTGTAAGAGAAATTGCAAGTACTTCTTTAACTTCCTATTAGTAAGCGTGCGTAGAAGTACTTGCCTCCAATGACATCACCGTGTTAAAATAATGACTTAAAATGCTAATGAAGAAGTAGTGAAAAGAGGTTTTATTAGCTTTTTAACTCACGACTTTTCAATGTAAGTTTTTCCTGGGTAACTGTGTCCAAACTCTCTACATTATTAAGTAATTATTTAATTACTATATTTTCAATTTCCAAAAAATATTTTTTAATTCGAAAAACACGAAAATTTCGGAATGTATGATCATGTTTTACATTTTATCTAATGGCACTTCGTAGGAGCGCTCATGATACCCCATCGTTTATAGGGAACTTTTCAAATAAAAATTTAAAAAATTAAACATTTTCTTACAATACTAACTTGTACATGGAACAAATTCAATAGGAGAGATAGGTTTGTATAGCTTTAGAAAGTTTGGATCATAACTTGTTAGTTGTCTCACATGCAGAAGGATTAAACAAAGTTGAAATGTTGTGTATATTGTAGAAACGTATGCGAATTGTTTTGTTAGTTTTAACAAACACTGCTCGTTAATCTATTCAGAAAGATTTTAATATATGTATATATTTTTTTTTATAAAATAAAAAAATTACGTATGAAACTAAAGAGCCATAGCTCCACATCCAAAGAGCCGCATTTGGCTCGCGAGCCGTAGTTTGCCGACCCCTGGTCTAGTCTATAGTCTAGTCTATAGTCTAGTCTATAGTCTAGTCTATAGTCTAGTCTATAGTCTAGTCTATAGTCTAGTCTATAGTCTAGTCTATAGTCTAGTCTATAGTCTAGTCTATAGTCTAGTCTATAGTCTAGTCTATAGTCTAGTCTATAGTCTAGTCTATAGTCTAGTCTATAGTCTAGTCTATAGTCTAGTCTATAGTCTAGTCTATAGTCTAGTCTATAGTCTAGTCTATAGTCTAGTCTATAGTCTAGTCTATAGTCTAGTCTATAGTCTAGTCTATAGTCTAGTCTATAGTCTAGTCTATAGTCTAGTCTATAGTCTAGTCTATAGTCTAGTCTATAGTCTAGTCTATAGTCTAGTCTATAGTCTAGTCTATAGTCTATAGTCTAGTCTATAGTCTAGTCTATAGTCTAGTCTATAGTCTAGTCTATAGTCTAGTCTATAGTCTAGTCTATAGTCTAGTCTATAGTCTAGTCTATAGTCTAGTCTATAGTCTAGTCTATAGTCTAGTCTATAGTCTAGTCTATAGTCTAGTCTATAGTCTATAGTCTAGTCTATAGTCTAGTCTATAGTCTAGTCTATAGTCTAGTCTATAGTCTAGTCTATAGTCTAGTCTATTCTATAGTCTAGTCTAGTCTAGTCTATAGTCTAGTCTATAGTCTAGTCTATAGTCTAGTCTATAGTCTAGTCTATAGTCTAGTTTATAGTCTAGTCTATAGTCTAGTCTATAGTCTAGTCTATAGTCTAGTCTATAGTCTAGTCTATAGTCTAGTCTATAGTCTAGTCTATAGTCTAGTCTATAGTCTAGTCTATAGTCTAGTTTATAGTCTAGTCTATAGTCTAGTGTATAGTCGAGTCTTTTTGAAATCTTTTTGAAATCGAAAAATACCATGTATCCCCACGACTTTTTCAAACTTATATATAAACTTTTAATAAGTAGTAAATAGACCAGTCTGTAGTCTAGTCTATATTCTAGTCTAATCTAATCTATAATCTAGTCTAGAGTTAGTATATAGTCTAGTGGAATGTTAAGTTAATACTAAAAAGTACTCCTTGTTATAAGTCCTAAACTCCTTATGCAAAAACGGCTATTAAAGTTAATAATGGTTTACTACAACACACTTTTTCCTTATTTAAAAACAGGTTTTAATAACCATTGTTAACTTAATAATTGTTTTTAGATAAGGCAGTTAATATTAAATAATTTAAATTTTCCATGATATTATTTTATTAAAATTTTGTTGTAATTTAACTTAATTATGTTAGCAGGATACGCTAACCTTATATAAGAAACAAACACTGTTTCTCAAGACCGTCACATATTTTTAGTTAAAATGACTTCAACAATAACTACAAAATGAGTTAATTATTACTTTGATTAATTTTCATTCAACATTTTTATACGTGACGTTTTAATTTTGAAACAACTAAATAATGAGTTTTAAAGCCTTTAAATATATGAGGATGTCTGAATTTCTTATCCAATTGATATTAATGTCCATTTATATTTTTAATCCTTAACATTTTTTTGTTGCTTAATATTTTATAAGATTATTTTTCTGGTTTATAAATATCTTTGACGATAAACAATATTTAACCAATTAAATGATCAATGTATTTGCAAATTTTTAAGGATAATAAGTTAAATATTTTTTAACACAAAACACTTCTGGCTGATGTTAAACGATTTTTTTCTTTTATATTTTGTATTTAATGCTGGTATGAAACAGGTAAGATTAATTTAAAGAGGATCAACGTTTTTTATTTCGTTTTTTCGTCAATTATATTTTTTTTTTATTTTTTTTTTTTTTTGGGAAGAAGTCCTTTTATTAATGTAATGAAAAAAACACTTTCATTACTTTACTCACAATTATTGTCATATTTTTTCTTTTTTTTCTAAAAACAAATATACCGTTAAATGACACAACAGCGATGACGTGCAATAAACTTTTGAATGGTTTTTTTTTTTGTGTACGCTTTTATAATAATGATCTTAATTCGTTTCCTACTCTTGTTAACAACACAAGACAAGATCTTCCAATATTGAATTGTTATACATAATAATAATACCACATATTTATTCCCTGTGCATATTTCTATAGAGGTTTTGTTTGTTATTTGTTGCCTAAGACATAGTGATTAAAAACCAGGGAGCGAGAAAATGTTATTTATTAAAAAATGGTAATTAATTCAAATGGGAAAATTTTGAAAATTATTTCTTTTGAATTAAATGTGGATGGAAATAACAATGTTTTAAGTTTGGTATAATGTTTCAAAGTCATATGTATGGTATATAATGTAAGATCTTTTTGAAATCTGAAAAATTTTATTGCTAAATTAATATTCGAAAATATATTCGATGATAACCACTTCAATCCCTGTTGTGGGTTAAGACAAGTTTTCCAAATAATAATAATAATGATGTTTTTCTGAATGTGTGTTTAAATAGTTTTTCCATGTTTTTATACAAATAAACCAGTCAGTCCTGCAGTAAGTATTGTTTCTTCTAGCACTGCTTACCTATTGACAATTTACTTATTCGCTTTTATCCAACCAATTGTTGATAATGAGGAAATTGTTATTTACTCTTTATTGTGAAAGTTTTAAAACTAAATGTTTTTCTTTAAATCTCGAAAAAAAAGCAAAAATCATTGGCAACCAACTGTAAAATATGTGAGTGTTAATGGAATTTTAAAATAAATCTTTTTTAATTAGTTAATAAGCTCGTGTGTGTGTTTTGACACACTTTTGTCATTGATATCAAAGCAAATGTTAGGAAGTTTACTAAATGTCCTTTTTTGTAAGCAATAATAAATATAAATGTCTAATTTACATTTAGACTTGATTGGATTATGATTTTGGTATTTTCTTCAATTACTGTATTAATTGACAGCTAAATCATGTTGTAATTATATTCAATATTTTTGGACACACACACACAAATTATTTAAAAGTTTAATGGAAAAAATAACTTTTAAGTCTTGAGTTTTACAAGAAAATTGAAGATTTACCATAAAATCAAAGCTGCGCCAGTTGGTTAGTAGTTTGTTAGTTTCAAAGGAGGAAATCCGAAGACTGTTGGGCACTTCTTTACCGGTGTCTCTGATGGGAATCGAACCCACGAACTCCGGTCTGATAGACTGCAACACTAGCTACTAACCCACCGGATGTAGCCAATTAATTATCAATAGAGACTAGAAATTCGGAATTTCACTAAAAATTCGGAATTTCACTAGAAATTCCAAATTTCACTAGAAATTCCAAATTTCACCGAAAATTCGGAATTTCAATAGAAATTCGGAATTTCAATAGAAATTCGGAAGTTAAAGTTTTCATTACAAATTCGAATTTTTTCCAGAAATTAAAATTTTCACTGGAAATTCGAATTAACACTAGAGATTATCAATAGAGACTTAAAGTTTCGAAGTTTCCCTAGAAAATCGAAGTTTTAACAAAATATCGATGTTTTACTAGAATATTCGAATTTTCACTAAAAATTTAATTTCCACTAGAAATTCGAACTTTCACTTAAAGTTCGAATTTTCGAAATTTTAGCAGAAATTTTAATTTTTACTAGAAATTTAAATTTTCACTAAAAATTCAAAATTCTATACAAATACAATTCGAATTTTGTGTAGAAATTCGAATTTTTCGACAATTTTTCACTAGAAATTCGATTTTTTACTAGAAATTTAAATTTAGTGAAAATTCAGGAAATCTCATTTTGTTTAAAATAAAATTGCCTTTGGAAATTCGAATTTTCATTCAAAATTTCTATATTCAATAGGAAATGACTTCATTAGAAATTCGAATTTTCACAAAAACTTCAAAGTTTCAGTAGAAATTCAAAGTTTCACTAGAAATTCAAATTTTAAGTCGAAATTAAAAATTTTTTCTAAAAATTCGAATTCGAATCAATAGCAAATAACTTTTCACTAGAAATTCGAAATTTCACTAAAAATTCTAACTTTCAATAGAAAATTTAATTTCCTGTAGA